GTGTGTGTGTGTGTGTGTGTGTGTGTGTGTGTGTGTGTGTGTGTGTGTGTGTGTGTGTGTGTTTAGGCAGCAAATTCTCTTTTAGACATGTTTGTATTTACTTAGTAGCAAATCAGACAGGTCTGACAAAGTAAAACCGGCAGATGCTCTCGAAAATTGCCTCCAGTCAGTGGTTAACAGGGGCAAGAAATGGCTGGTCAATTTTTAACACTACCAAAACAAAACTGCATTCATTTAATCACCATAGAGAACCTTTTCTGCCTTCCATCAGCATAGCTGACGCAAACCTTCAGGGGATCAACTCTTTGTGTCTTCTTTGTCTCACGTTTTCCTCTGACATACAGTTCAGTGATTATATTGAATCAATGTCTAGGTCTACTGGAAAATTGATTTACTGTGTCGTACCAGATAATTTTTCTCATCAGAATACATCATACACCTTTATAAATCTAACATTCGTTCGAACAGTGAATATTGATGCGATATCTAATCGGGTGTGGTTACTATATATCTGGAGACTCTTAACAAAATCCAAAGAAGGGTCTGCCGTGTAATCGATCCTAACCTGGCATCTCAACTACAGTTTAAGCGTACTAATAGATCAGCACCCAGGTTTCACCATTTTACTGTCAAATTAGCTAGATGCAACACTGTTCTATTCTAATAGTTTATTTTCTCGCACTTCTCACATGTCGAATTCAACTTCCGGTTTCTTGCTTCCCTACCACTTGCAATCTTTAAAAATTTAGATGCAGCGTCAATCACCATCTTTTGTCTTCTTTTATGGTCCTTTTCTCCTCATTAGAGTTTTCTCGTTCTCTTTCACTTCCAGTAACACCATGAGTCTTAATGGCATTATCGTCTTGCTAGAAATGAAATTATATATATATATATATATATATATATATATATATATATATATATATATATATATATATATATATTAATTATGATTTGGTAAAATGAACAAATTAGACAGATTCAAATTATTCAATTAGGCACATTATAAAAAGATATTTTTTTAGTTAATCTGTTTCACACAAAATACGGACCTCTTTTTATTGAAAATTATTAATAAGAAGCGATATGCCTGCTGAGTAAATATCAATTTAAAATAAAATTTAATAACTTATAATGACAGAAAAACAAAATTTGCACGGCATTTAAAATATGTATCAAATTATTACTCTACAACGTTTCAGTATTTAAGCATGTATGGTTATTAGCTTATTAAAAATTGCCTACTCAAGTAACATCCATTCAACTAGAGCCAGGTTAAATATTTGCATTTTGTGTCTACTGCTACGTCCGTCCGCCAGGTATAAAAAGGACATCGTATCACGTGGTCAGACCTAGTAGCACTTCGAGAAACTGTCCCAGTCGAAGCAATAAGATGAGTTAGCAAATGCTCTTGTGTATAGTCTCTTTCCTGTCATAGAAACTAGACTAAAAATGTAAAACAGCAATTTGTAGAATTTAAAAACATTGGATTTTGATTTCCTATTTTTTTGTGAACGACTTGAATATTTTTACAAAGCCAAATTTTCACCGCCTCCATCTCCTACAGCCATTTATTGTTTTATGGTTCATTTTCTATACAGGAGCATGTAAATATATAACTATATTAATATACTCACGTGTGTATGTGAACGTTACACTAGCTATAAAGCTTCAAGTAGAGAGAAAAAAAGCTTTAAAAAGGAAATTAACAAGATATCAAGAATCGGAGGTAGTAGGTATGCAAATAAATTAAAGGGGACATATTTTACTTATAAATAAATCCAAAAGATACAGGCTAACGAAATATACAGGGTGTCCCAAAAATGTACTCAGTTTTTGACTTCCTATAACTTCCTCATTTTTTTTTTCTTTTTTCAGATTCAGTGCACCCTAATAATGGCAGGAGTACAATTAAGTTTTGAAGAAAGAAATTTGTCATATAGTGTCACTGGAATCAGAAAATTCATTAAAGAAGTAAAAAGACAATATAGAAGACGGTTTCACAGACAGCCACCAACGCGACGCGGCATTGCTCGCATCAGAGATGAGTTTCAAGCAGAAACTGTTAACGATGTTCATCAGCAGACTTCAGGAAGACCACAGCTGTTTACCAGCCCCGAAAAACAAGGACAATTACCGAGAATCATCCATCGATTTCCAAAGAAATTTGCACGACAAATGGTGGCCATTAATTTGAATATTTATAAACATGCATTTAATTTCATTTAATATTTAATTTAAAACGTTAATCTTCTTTGTAAGTCAATATACATTAATATCTCTTCATTTTAACTATTATTATTGTTTGTAAGTCAACAAATAATGCATTTATTGTCATTTAAAGAGTGAGTACATTTTTAGAACACCTTGTATAAAACCAATGTCACATATACCTGAATAAATTATTCTATTACTTTAAATATTAATATGGGCTCCTAATATTCTTTAACTCTTGTCCGTCAACCATTGATTTTAACATCACTTGCAGCAGTTTTTTTTATTGCCTCCCATACATTTTTTTGGTATTTATATTGTTTTTCATTCTCATATCCATCAACATTGATAAACTTTTTTCTGCGACGTGCACGGTGCACACAATCGTATTGCACATTCATACATACATGAAAGCATTACACACATTTGCATTACTAAATCAGTTCAGTTATGTGCCAAGCGTGATACACGCGTAGGCGATTATGTATCTTTCGATATATAACTGACGAGGCATATTTTCCTACAGTAGGTTGCCATTTTTTTCTGCGGTAGACCAGTTGCCATCCAAACTATATAACTCGATGTTTCCTGCTATTTATCCAGTGGGGGGGGGAGAGGATTCATAGCTTTCCCAAGGTTATTAGCACGTAAGTGAATGTAATGGATTCGATTGGAATTCGAACTTGGTTCTCCGATTGCTCAGTCCAACCCGCTATCCATTACTCCATTGTACATATGCACAAAAACAAGCGCGTATGTGCATGTGTGTATGTGAGAGAGAGAGAGAGAGAGAGAGAGAGAGAGAGAGAGAGTGAGTGAGTGAGTGAGTGAGTGAGTGAGTTTAGTGCATTTGCAACAGTCCACTGATGGAGCACTAATATCACATCACGTCGAGTATGTCACGCGATAATGGGATACTAATATCGTGTCGTGGTCACAAGTTGAAGTAGTACTAATATTACATCGTGTCGGGGTCACCAGTTTATGGTTGAGCTAGGGAAGAAAGGAATATTCGTCCAGTTTGAATTACGATCATTACTATATCCATGGTATAATATTTACACGTGACCCACACAAAAGAAACTATACACATGTACTACACAAAGAGTGTGAAAATGGCGAAGATTCTCTTAATATAAATATCTCTTAACATAAAATTATTTTAAATTTTAATAAAAAGTATCGTTGTAAATACCTCCAAAGATTTGCTAAAAAATGAACATGCCTGATGAAAAAAATGCCCCAAATTTAATAAAAATCTTCATGTTATTATGAAGAGGAAAGAGCAAATGATTTTTCATTATTAAATTATATTTTAACACTTTTTAGAACCTTCAAAACTTATGTTAAAAATTCTTCCTGTGTCAAAGGTTGACCATAAACCAGTATGGGAAAATTGAGCGCCTTTTTACAGTGAAAAACACAGTGATTTTTAGATTTTTACAAAAATCGGATAATTGTTGGATTTTAATGAAACTTTCAGGATATTAATGAATGCAATTATTTTTTAAATGTTTCTTTTTTTTAAATCTTGGTAAAAAATATTTTTATGTCTGTTACCCCACCTGCCACTTATTTAATTTTAACAATGTTCTACAAATTCATTTTTGTAGAGTTTTTTGTTTATATTAACCATAAGGACAAGTACTTGGAGAATTTAAATCATCATTTTTTTTTTTTTTTTTTATGTCGAACAGGACCCGGGTTACTGAAACTTAGTTCTGAATCGTAAAATAAAAAATGCAATAAAACTAAGTCATTATTTGATTAAAAAATCTTTTAATTGATTTTATTAATAAGATATATTATGGACGCTATTGTCTTAAGAAAATATTTTTTCCCTGAGTAAGGAATTTTTACAGGAATGTTTTCATTTTTTTTTAATTTTAATTATAAGAATTCATAAAGCTTTAACTATTTTTTTAAAATTCTGTATTAATTTGTAGCGGTCAGGTGGTATTGCTATTAAAGACTATGGAATAGCTTATTACAACTCAGTGACCCCCAGTATTGTAAAATTTTCCGTGTGTATATAAAAAACGTACCGATTTTTGTAAATGCAGACGTCTTTACACGACATTACCAGAAAATAAGAGCGATAACTCTAGTAAATTTAAAATTCGTTAGTAATTTTCTAACATTTCCTCAGCAAGCGTATTCGTAAGTAAGACTATAAATCTACAGTACTTAAAATTCAATAAAATATTAGATCACTTAAAAATATATTCCTTATCTTTTAAGATTACTGCGTAGTTGAAAAAAAATTAATTGTGTGATATTGACAAATTTGTCAATGTGGCCGATTTTAACGGTTTTTTTAGCGATTCAAAAATAATTCCAATCAATTCAAATTTGGTTTAAAGTACAGCAAAGTATTTTGATTTCTAGAAATATTAAATTTAATTTATTATCTTGAAACTAAAACTGAAATAAAATCTTCAAAAAAGATTTTTCATTTTTAAAATGAATTTTAAGCCTTAGATATTTTTGCTCCTTTTTGCGCTACCTAATTCTGTAAAGATATTTGTTATTGAAGTTTAAAACAGAGTTAACGATAAAATATTTCTGCGTCAGCGATTGATGAAACACCGGTGGGATTTTTCTTCAGTTACACCGTCCCGCTGTCATTTGGAGGTCATCTGAACGATACCAACATGACTTTATTAAATGTAAATTTACTTGTTCGTCAACTGGCGGCATTGTCTTTCCCAGTTCATAAATCTGGACCCCTAATACAGACAGTAAGATGGATTAAACCCCGCTTCAGACCGATTGCCAAATCGAAGATGTTCCGTGTCCGGAAACCAACTCCAATCGATCCAGAAGAATATAAACAACTGAAGTTTCTTTACAACGCTTATAGCACCCACATGAGAAGTTTAAGGTAAGAAAAAGAAATGTGTGCAGAAGTATTTCTGAAGAAAAAGTATTCAAATGAAAGATATTCGATGATCTTAGTAAATTTATGTTTTAATTAAACCAGTTATTTCTTTTTAACGAAGTCTTCAAAATTAAATAACACAGCAAAATGATTTCAATTTCTCACATCCATCTTTTTATCACAAAAGACTAAAAAGAAAGAGGCATGTTAAATAGTACGAACATGTAAAAAATTTAACTCTGCAAAGAAGCAATTTTGAAATTAGTTCGTTTCTTTTAGTTTTAATTTCAAGCCCTTTCTTAAAAAGATTTTTTTTTAATATTCGTTAATTCCTCTAGTTAGCGCGAAAATTAAAATGCATGTGTTTTTTGTTTCTTTATTTATTTATTTTTTGTTTGTAGACTTGCTTAAACTTTTTAAATAATTTTGGCCAGATTTATAGTCTAAAAAGAAAACATCTTGCATAAAAATCGGGTATTGTTATTTTAAATCTTAACAATAACATTTTGATATTTATTTTATTAATAATTTTTACTTTTTTTACATGATTATTTCAGTCACGGCGCGCCACAAAAAATAAAGTCGGAAGGCTAAATTCTGTGGAAAATGGGCTAAAGTTAGATTTTTTTTAAATGATTCCTGATTCTTTTTTCTTTTCTATCTGATCCACTAATAAAATAAAATTTAATATTTTAATAATTTATGTTACTGTAAAATAAATTCACATTTTTTTTTCTGTTTGTAAACTAAACTTTTTTACCCGCATATGATACAAATTACATCTCTGTTCACTAACAATAACATTGTCATAGATTGAGAAGAAAAAGTGCGTCTTCTGTAAAAGTCTACAGTTAAAAAAAAGAAGAAAAAATTCTTCCTGCGTAATGTAGTAGGTGTTGTTTTTGTTTTTATTATTTCATATATTTTTATTTTTATTTTAAACAAATTCTACTTGAGAAACACTAAATTATTTCCCTTGCACTTTCCCTATTTCTTTACCTGGCCTCATATTTCTTTTAGATTTGAAAAATCATAAATGAAACCAAAGAGAACGTTAAAATGCATGTTTTTTGTTTGTTTGTTTTTTTTTTTTTGTTTTTTTATTACAATAATTTTTACTGTCATACGCTCTTAGGAGGTAGGCATTCATAACTCTCCACAGCTTCCCTCTTGAATTTTTTTGATCTGCTATGACTTCTTGTTCTTGAGAAAGAAATTGGAGTAGTTTCCCGTTGCCTTCTCCACGGTTTTACTTTTACATTTTTAGTTCTTTTCTAGACTGGCTCTACCGAAATTAAATAATCTAATCTCCTTGTTATTAAAAACCCATCACTAGGATTTTTTTTTTTTTTTTTTTTTATTGATTGATTTTCATAACTTTTCCAAGTGCATTAATTATTTTTGGATTGCCGATTCCACTTTTCGACAATAACAACTACTTAAAACTTATTTTTTTAATCTCTTATGAAAAAAAAAATACAGTGACAGGTTATTTTTTTTCTATATCGATTTTTTTTTTTTTTTTTTTTTCAAAATGTTTGGGTATGCCTTGTCTAAGAAATGCAACATTTGATAGATCCATAAATAATTTTATCGTTTACTCAAATAAATCTCAGAAGCTTAACTTTACCGGTATTCATACCTAATCGCATATAATTCATTAAAGTCCAAAAGCGGTTTCAGAATATGAGAAGAGAGAAAAAAATTATTAAATCTAGGGGAGGTAACTTGGTGTTTGGTACTTTTTTGAATTGAATTTTTATCCGTCATTATTTAATGAACGTTATTTGTAGTGGGTACACGGATTGGAATTGCTATCCCTGATTTTTTTTTTTTTTTTTTTTTTTTGGACGAATTTAGGCCGGTCGCTATTAATTTCAATGTTTAAGAAAACAAAACAGGGTTAGTAACTCGGATACGAGTACCCATTAAAAATAAAAATCGACAATTTCTTCTTTTTTTTTTTTTTTTTTAATAGACCACATGTTTATTTTAGATCAAAAAAAGGAAATTCACTTGTTTTAATCCTCGCCTTTTAAAACAATTCATAAACGTTGCCGAATAGTAAGTAAAGGTAGTTAAATTAAAACAGTAGCGGTGTCAATGGAAAAACTGCTCTTTTGACACTCAATTTTTTTTTTTTTTTTTTTTTTTTTTTCGGGCACAAATGTCCAAGTTTGCCGTAATTTCTTTTATCTCTTGGCTGCTTGTTTGGGTAAATTAGTCACTATTATGTTGTGGGGATCAACACTTTGGAGAACGAATATTTACGGACTCCTGGAAAATTGCCGAACTCAATGTGACTCCAAGTAAAACGAACGGCAATGCATGGATTAACAAAGGAATTACAAATGTTCCAAGAGCCTTTAAAATTAAATATTTATTGAAAAAATGTCCACACCTTGCAACAAAACAGTTGATACCCGCAGCAATTTCGATAGCAAAATATCAGAATAATGATATTCTTTCTTTTTTGTGGAAGTAAATTGAGCCTAGAACTTTTCAGCATCACCTGGCTTTTTCTTTCTTTTTTTTATCATCTTTTATGAAAATATTGTCAAATTCAAAGCTCAATCTTACAGAATTTTACTGAGACATTCTGTGTCAAATCACCAAGAGTCTGATCATCACCAACACACTTTTTTTTTTCAAATTTGGTACACTTATGAATTAACTTTAATTCACTAGCTCAAAGACCCTTTGACCTTTGCTAAAAAGATGAATTTTGAAAAATAACCACAAAGTCAATATCTCAGTTGAATTTTTTTTTTTTCCTACAGAGCTAAAATTTTATACCATTTTAAAGTACTTCAATAGATCTAAAATCTGATCTATTTATTCTTTTTACAGTAAGGTTCACCCTTTTCAATGCTCAGGAGCCCACTCATGGTAGGAGGTTACATTAGGAGGCCATTTGTATGTATAGGAGTTCAACAGGTTAAGATTGTAGTGATCAGGGAAACATCCTGTTAGGAATCGGTTCCACCCGGCAGTTGTTTGTGAAAAGAAGCTACTCAAGTGGAACTTGTTCATTACCGATGGGATATGGTGGGAATGTAGATGGTTTGCTACTATGTAAGTGGCATAGTGTGTTCTTGCCATGAAGGTTTGACTTGGCAGAACCGGAGAATGTACTTCATCCAAGCACTTTTGTGGAAATAGCAGTAGAGCAGCAAGAGGCTTGCTACATCCCACATATGGGGGAGAATTTGGAGGGTGGAGATTAATTCGTCATCCACAAGGGCTCAGGGATGCTTTTGGACTCTATCAATGCTGGAGAGTGTAGTCTGTTTTTACCCTGTTATGTAGTTTGTGCGACATCAGAAGAGATCAGTTGCCAATCTCTGATCATCAAGGGGTTTAGATGTGTGCCCATAGAGTTGTATCATCAGCATAGATGTTTGCAAATGACCTTAGGCAGATTTATGTAGCTCAAAACGTCTGTTTTTTTTTTTTGTTTTGTTTACCTTATTTGACCTTTAATAAAATAATCTGATCCTTAATTTTTTTTTTTTTAAATTGGCAGCAAATTTGCCTGTTTTATGACAAAATTTTGTGGTGGATTTTTGTTGCCTGAATTAAAAAGGTTTTACTGAGTTGGGTCAAATTCAAAATGGCGGATTTTGGTATTTGCCACTATATGCTAATCTTTTCATATCTCCCAATATGGTAAAGTTGTATATCTTTAGAAAGCTCTTTCAATGCTGATTAATAGTCAGATGAAAACTATGATCCTAAAATCAACAGAATTTGTTATTTGTGATTAAATGTTGACTAATTCAATGGAAAATAAACAACCTTATTTTGACTTTTGTTTACATTTTTATTATACAACAAATAAATTTTTATATGAAAAAGTGACATGCAACAAATTATGTTAATGGTTAATAAATTTTTTTGAAACAAAATAAATAGATCACCTTTTTGGTAAAGATCAAAGGGTCATATCTTGGGAACCCTTTGACCTAGAAATGTAAAATAGGTACCATTCAATTCATATCATAAAGCTCTCAAAGTGTACCAACTTTGAAAAAACTGTGTTGGTATGTTCAGACCCTTGTTGATTTGACACAGAATAACTCTATACTAGATAAAAATGACTTGTAGATATAAAGAAAATATAAAGGTCTATTATAAGCTGGACCATTATTATTATTATTCCAAGAGATGTTCAGACTACTGAATCAGTCTTTGTACTGTTCTTAAATTGTACAAAGGAAAGACAGGCATCTCCTTTCTGCAGAATCAAGTGGTAAACAAAAGAAAAGAAATACAAGGAAGTGCTGAAAAGTTCTCAGCCTGCTCAGAATATGGTTTGGAGGAAGTCCCTTCTTAATCAGGCCAAAAACTTTTCACTACCCTCTTGTTCTGGCAATCTTGGTTCATTCCCTTTTAGCCCAGGCTTTAGAGAATATACCATTCTCAATCTGATAATAGTGTGTTCCATAGTTATTGAGAATAGTAGCTTATATGTGGCTTGTGTTGCAAGGAATGAGCTGAACCCATCAGTATAGAACTTTCTAATTTTTTGTTTTCTATAGAAAATCCTCCCTCTTAAAGTTTATGTACCTAAAGAATGCTATATAACAGGTGCAATAGTTAAAAATCTCTGTTTTTATCCTTTATTGGTTTTTATGTATTTTCATCATTAAATAACAGCATTCAGTTTGCTAGCCTATTCTGAACATCAAGATGTAATTAAAATCAATTGCATTTTCTTGCTCAGAGCCTCCACAGTTGATTTTTGGGGCTTCTTGCAGCTTTTTTATAACATTCATTTCTTTTCTAACTTTTTGTTTTTTTTTTATTTCAGGCATTTTTTCTTGATGCAGCTGCAAGAGAAGATAAAACAGACTGAAATGATAAAGAAAACAGATTTTAGTGAAGATATTCAAGAATTTGAACAGTTGCTAAAAGAAAATGAGCTTTGGAATGAAGAAGCTAAAAAGATCAGGTAAAAAAATAAAACAGAAAATATGTCTTCCCCTTGTGAAATTTGGTTTCTTTGTTTCCTCCTGAAGAATTCATTTTATATTAAAATAAAACATTCTGCAAGCTTGTTTGGCCTATGTGATGTTGGGTTTTCACACCTCAAATATCAACCATTTAGTTCTTATATTTAAAACTCTCTGTAGGTGACTATTTTCATCAAGCAAAATGTTAGTCATGCCAATGCAAGTTGAATTTCTTGGTTGTGTAGTCATGTCCTATGTCAACAACTAAAACAATCTTGACTGGAATTGACAGCCAAGCTGCTGCAATTTCAAATATATCTATGGATTTCACACATATATAACTGTCTGTGAAGGAAAGCTGGTAAAAATGAACAAATTAAAGATTCAAGCTACCTCCAACACATTATTAGAACATATTCTGATAATCAGTTTGGATTGAAAGACAAAATAACACATTTAAAAAAAAAAAAAAAAAAAAAAAAAAAAGATGTAATATCCCTATTGAGTGGATACCAATTTAAAATGAATGTTATTTGTTTTTATAAGATAAAGATTTTATTTTAAAACATCAAATTAAAAAGCCAGTATCCAAATAGGCAAAGTTAGGTTTCATTTTATTTTCCATAAACAAATACTACTGCATTTAATTAAAACATATTATGATGAAAACTGGAATTATTTTCAGTTTATAAAAGTATTCATAAAATTATTTGAGTAACCATGAAAATTTGACTTTCCACTTGCTAAAAAGAAAAACATTGTGTGTGTGTTCAAACATTCTTTTTTGCTGTTAAAATAGTTAAATGTAACTGCCATTTCTACTCTAAAAGTTTCTTTTCTCACACTTCCTACCTATGGAACTCCCTTGTGTTTACTTGATTCCCTGATAACTACAATCCTCAAAAATTTAAATGCAATGTCACTGCCATCTTCTAAAATCTTTCATCTTTTATTCTTTCTCTCACTTTCTTTCTCTGTAACCCTCTGCATACTGGTGGCATTCCCACCCTGCTTGGAGTGAAATGATTTAAAAAAAAAAAAAAATTCAAATAGAATGAAGAAAGCAAATTTCATGAACAAAATATGTGTTACAATTGTATAAGAAAAATTAAAAGGAAATAATTTTTGTCCCATATTAAATTAAAATTTTCAATTTCTGAATATTACACACACACACACACACACACACTTCTGAATGGTATGTTAAATTGATGATTTCTGATGTGTTCCAATTTGAAGAGATTCTGTATTATTTATTAAAATTAAATTACAAAACCATCTTAAAACTGTAAGGGCAATGGAAGGAAACTTTCAGGTGGCTCAGTGGGAGAAAGACTGATTTATAAAATTCAATACATCCAAAATCAAACTAACATTCCTCCTCCTCCACCACCAAGCAAGACCTTGAACTTTCACCCATCATGATGGATAGGCCTGCTCTCCGGGAGACATTTTCCCTTGAAAACGTCTATTGGGACTCTAGCTCTTCCCAGATGTTAAGCAGAACTAATATATGCAATTTATTGCTAAAGATGCTGGAAACGCGGTCAGGTCATTGTGCCGCCCCAGTAAGTATCTGTCTCCCCCTGCTGTACTCTTTCTTTGCATCCGCCATATCAGACCAAAAATGAAGTATTGCTGCCATATCTGAGCTGGAGTTGCCCAGTTCTCACTTGCCTGGCTTGATAGTTCAAAAGTGTCTACATGGCCTTGTTGGCCTACAACCACTTTCCCACAGACAAAATGTCGCAAGCCTCTCGCTACTTTATCACCATTTCCATGGCAAGTGTTCTGGCGTGCTACATCCCTTACTCCCACCAGCTCTAACCTTTGCAACTCTGACCCATGCCATGTACACAAGGGTGAATTATCCCCATTCCCTTTGTATTCTGTTAATAAGAAGTATGTCCAACATGGACAGCTTTAGGATTGCTGCTTTGTGGAACAGCCTCCCAGGAGGATGTTTTCCCAATCACTACAATTTTGACCCCTTCAAGTCTCCATGATCTCATGAAATTCACTTATTGCCTTATCTTATGCTTTGTTAACCAGAGAGCAGTTTCAATTCCAGTTGGGTTCATTATATTCACTTACACACAAATACACTTGGGAAAGGCATGAATCCACCTCTTCTCTCCCTAGCTATTAAAACTTGTATCACTAAATTATTATCTTGAGATTCTTACAATCTAAAAATATTTCCTGGTTTTAAATAAACTGCAAAGGGTTAACCCATAGAAAATGAATGAATAAACCAATCAATCAATTTTCTTATAACACCACATAGTAACCCTCTACCTTGAATGGCTCTTGAGCTTTGTATTGGGTGAGCATTATAAAAAAAAATAGGTAATTTAAATCCGCTTATAATTGTGATTCTATGGCTTTTTTTTTTTGTCTTTTTCTGTAGAGAAGTGGACATGGCTAAGGCACAAGCAGAAGCTGAATTGGCTCAGCTGAGTAAAAAAGAAAGATTCGAACGAAGGAAACTGAATAAAATCCTGGCTGCAGAAGAAAAAGTTATGAAAGAAAGGGTAAGATATTCTTTCACATGGAAATTTGACCAAAGTACTGTTAGACAAAAATGTTGCTTGATTAATTTATGGCTTTCAAAGAAAGCTCTTTGTCCTATCTTGTTTTAAGTACACCAGCAAAAAAAAAAATATGACTGCTTTTAAATCACTCCAAGAATTTATGCTGACTTAAATACTTCAGGAGTGTATATTTTCTTTCCCTCTTCCAAAATACATAGATTTCATTGTCAATTTTATGAACCCAGAATTAATTCCAAATTTTGAAATGTAAAATTTCCATGATGTTTTTCTGATGATTTGTCTTCTAGACAACCACAAGCAAGCAATTTCTTTTGATCTGCTACTTTGATTATTACAAACCTAGTTCATTGCTTGTCTTTATTTTAAGTAAATTGGTTCCCTGTGTGGTGGTAGACAATTCTCCTCACCAGAATCTATCTTGCCTATTTATAAATCTACCATTCATCCTTGCTTTGAATACTGCTGGCACATCTGGTTTGGTGCTTCTGTTATATATTTAGAAATTCTTAATAAAATCCACAGATGACTCTGCAATGTTAATTGTCCTGACTTTCAGTCCCTTTTCCTACTCATTTTACAGTTGAAATAGCCAAATGTAACCATAAGTTCTATGCTAACAGCTTCTATCACACTTCTTGCTTGTGGAACTCTCTTTCAGCTTCTTGCTTTCCAGTCAAGTTTGATCTTCAAAAGTGTAAATGCAGTGGCAATTATTATCTACTCTCTTAATTCTTGTTCTTTTACTGTTTTATTTAATAGTTTTTTGGGGTTTTTTTTCTTTTTGCATATTCTCTAACACTTAATGACCTCGTTGCCTTATTTGGGATGAAATGATTTAAAAAATAAAAATAAACCTTGTTGATTACAATGTTATTACTTTAAATAAAAAGATGGGTTCTACAGCAGGCTGAGTAGAAGGGTATGTGAAATTTTACATAATGCCATGTGTTCTGATTGTTAGGTTCATAAGTATTTCTGATTAGAACTGAGACAGATGTCCAGTATGGCCATGATAACAAATTAAGTGCTGGAAAGGCAAAATTTTGAATTTTAAAGATTGGGAAAAGACAGAATGTTTTTTCCTAATTTGTTTTTTGGGGGTTTTGTTTATTACGTGACTCATTTGTTAATTTTGGATATTTTTCCTAAAATTGTGTTGATATGTTTTGTTAATTCACGGACCTTAATGATTTGAAAATCCCTGTTCTGATACTGTATTTTTCTAAATGGTGTCAACAAAATTGGGCCTCAAAAATCCGAATTGTAAATTTTCTCTTTTAAAGTTCACAAATAACACACTCAACGTTTCATTTGTACTTGATCTAAGGTAGGTATTTCTTGAAATATTACAATTTTGGCACTGAGTTCGTAATGCAGAGGGGGAGTCCTGTTTAGCGCTGGACTCTATCAACAATTGTCTTCTCTATTTTTGTATCGAAATTACCTCCCTTGATACCTTTTGAACAATTTTAAAATATTATTTTATTTTTTTAATCAGTCCCCCTCTCCAAACAAGGTGATAATGCCACTAACGCACAAGGGGCTACTTAGAGTTAATGAGGAGACTTTAGAAGCAATGGGGAACGAGGCATTATTGTTATTGTGTGTGTATATATAATATTTCTCAGATGGAATGTATCAGTAGCAGAAACAAAATTGATAAAAAGAGACGAGAGGAAAAACTATACTTAGCTGATGTTTCTTCCTCTGAGGGATTTTATCAAGGCAGTGTAAGATTTATTATACTGCGTGTGTTTATATACACAGAGGCGAAGATGCCATTGGCTTATTAAGGCATGTAAATTTGAGAACATTCATGAATGTTCATTGACTGACATTTCAATCACCTGATGAACATTGTCAAATTTATAAGCCTTGATAAACCAATGACATCCCCCACTGTATTCAAACACCTCCAGCAGAATAAAGCCTACATTGCCTTGATAAAATCCCTCAGAATATGAAACACGTTGGCTAAGTATGGTTTTCCTCTTGTCTCTTTATTCATATTAAATATCTTGTATGTGTTTTTGTTTTACTAATTTTGTAAGTATTTACATCGATTCTTTTTTTTTTTTTTTTTTTTTTTTGTCATTCTCTTAAAATTAGGAATCAATAAGTTATTAAATGAACATTTCTATTCTAAAAAAAAATTCTCACAAGTGGAGTTTACAAATTGCTAATTAAAATTAATCAATTAAAAATTAAAAACAACAATCCCTACTTCCCATGCCATTTGTTTGTTTTCAAAAAAATGTCAAGTAAAGAATATGTGAATTATAAATTTATGAACATGTATTTAGTTTTAAAATATATAAATCTGCTGTTAGTCTTAAAATTTCATGAAATTTTTTGGTAGCATTTCCTCACCCCACCTCTTTTATTTTTCCCAAATATTACTATTTTGTTTACATAGAGATGTTTTAGATTATGAATTCTTTTTTCTGTCTATGCATGAGAAAAATATTTTTTTAATATTCCCAGCCCATGTTAAAATCTATAATATACAAAAAAATAAAAATTCTTCTTGATTTTTTTTTTTTTTTTTTAAATTGTTCAGCAATTCTGTCAGCATATTATTGAAATTATTTTTATCCATGTTTTCTGCCTCCAGTAATGGGGGGAGGGAATTCTTCCACTTTTATTTTCTTAGTTATTTTATTTACTTATTTTCTTTTCAGAACACCATCTTCATTCTAGAAGAGAACTTGGATCAAGAAATTGAAAAAGTCATTGACGCCCGAGTAGATTATAATTTTGCCATTGACAAACAAGGAAATGTTATCAAGAGTGAAATGGAATCACTTGGTGACAAGAAGGACCAAGAAAGTGAAATCGATAAATCATGATTGGCATTGAAATAGAATAATTTCAATTTGCTTCTAAGGGCTGTTCTCATTATTGATCTCATTCTTGTTGTTATCAACATTTCAGCTGATCCTTTCTCCAGGTGTACAATCTGTAAAGATTGTTTTGTTTTTTTAGGGGAGGGGGGTTAAGGAATTGTCTACTTATATATTAATTGTTAAACACTGAAACCAGAAAAAAACAGTGGTAAATGAACTGATCATACAAACATATTATATGTGGTCCTCACCGTATTACATGTGACAGGCTACTCCACAATTTGTGTACAGGGTTACTCTTCAGTAGCCTATAGTCACAATGAAAAAACACCGGTTCTTTTTTGATCACTGGAGTTAAGTGGTGTCAAATCTGGTCAGTACTTAAATGGGAGAGAAGCTAGGTTGTGTAAGAAATCTCTTACAATCTGAAATGTTTCAGATTTAAACAACCTACAAAGGGTTGATCAGCTATAAAAATAAATCAATCTTTGATTTTTTTTTTTTTTTTTTGGTTTAATACTTTTCTTACTAAGCAATCTACACTGCAATCCACTTGGGCCTAATTTGTATACGCTTACAGAATCTACTACTTAAGTTTACTCACCATCCAGAAATGCATCTTTCCTTTCATTTCACAGAAAATAAAATGATCCTTTCTTACCCTCCAAATATGGCCTGCAGTAACTTTTTATAGTTCTATGTTCCTTGAGTTTAACTCTTAGGAGTTGACTGGTTTATTCTTTTGTTTGCAACTGCAGCAGATGTAAATGCAATTTTTAGCCCTTCACTTCTCCCACAAGGGAACAACTTTATTAAGATTGCAAAGAATGTTCATGCTATTGAAAACCAAACTGATGTTTGAATCCATGAAAATCCTTTGGATTCATTCTGCCAATCTTCTTTCTCTTATGTGTCTAACTTACCTTGGTCATGTTCTTAATGTCGCCAAGGTTTGTTGTTCTATTCTCCGTTCCAGATGTAATATATCAGGTGGTCAAACTATGGCTTGCTAGCCACATGTAGTTCTTTCACCTTTAATATGCATCTCATGGAAATATGATGGCTGAGCTTTTTTCTTTTTTTTTTTTTTTTTTTTTGTCAAAGTTAATATAAATTAAATTCCCATAGTTCATTACGATAGTAAATATGCTCAATATATTTAAAATGATCAGCAATCAAGATTTTGAAAACATTGGGGTGGGTGTATTTTGTGATTACTGAAAACAATACAAGTTAAGTTTCAAAACTGCATACATGAATAAATATTGCATACATGCATTTCTTAATATTTATGTGTAAATTTTGTTCATGCCTTGCTACTCTCAAACAGCTGAATTTTATCATATGTGGCACTTACATTAATCCTTAGAAGACAACCAGGCCAATAATACAAGCTTCAGGATAGTCTGGTACAAAGGCCAGCCAGCTAATGAGATTGCTTTTAACATTTCTTGCACATCTGGGTCTTTCATTGGTGGTTTCTATTTTATATAGATTCCATTTGCATTCCAAATGAATGCTTATGAAAAAGGCTACATTGCTTTTAGCACTGAAACTCCAAATGTAATATATTTTAATGATTTTGCTGATAAGCAATATATCATTGAGACAGATGTGAATATTTCAAGTAAAATTCAAGCATAATCATTTGTGTTGGTTTTAAGACATTTTAACAACAAAGATCAAAAACCTCATTAATTTTGGTGTAAGATTTCCACTAAGCTCTTTTTTCCACCATATATTGTGTAAGTTTACATGATCCAGCTAAACTTGTACATCTTCCTGGTGAGTTCAGAATCTAAAGCTATCAACTATACATCTAAAATCAAAAGTTTCAATGAAGTTAGTTTTTAAGGCCAGTCAAGCAAAAAAAAAAAAATTATCGATGTTACTTATCACCAGAGAAAGCAGTAATTCCATTGCTATAAGTTCTTCGTACATATCAAATCCTGCCCACAGATTTGCATCTCCGAATGTTTGCTGAAATGCAAATTAAAATGAAGAAAGGTATTATAAAATTTGTTTTGCAAGATAAGCAAGGTCTCTTTTGTTGAAACTTCACTAATCAGTTATATTATGAATTCAGATCATTTCATGTATGTATTGGTGAATTGCTAAAAATATTTTTGAGCAAATCAACCAAAATGCACCTCAGCAATTTTTCTTTTGGTTGTACAGGTTTCAATGTGTTTACCTCTTAAAATGAAAAAAAAAAAAATTCAGTCACTACCTGGAGGTGGAAACTCCTGCTCTACAGATTGTTTACCTCTTGATGCCCAAAGAATAGATTGGCTGGAACATTATAAGAACAAGATCAGTAATCAGAACACTTCTTGGAATAATAATGATTTCTCAATGTCATGTTTTTTAATTTTGATTATTCATTGCAATACTTGTAAATAGAAACATTATCAATTTCTATTTTTCTTGTTTTGTTTTCATTTTAAATCAATAACTTTTCTCTTGAAAGAATTTTGTGTGTGTATGTGTGTATTAAAAATTATATATTCATAATTCTTTTGAGTAGTTGGTCAGGCTGATAACTTTTCACCATCTATCATATTTGTATTTTATGACCTGAGAGAGAAAACACATTCAATTTTTTCCCTCCAACACACTGCCATGGGAAACTATAGTTTGTGTATATAAAAGTGACTTCAAAGACCAGTTTTGGAAAAGTTAAAATTTGAGATTCAGGTGTTTGGCCTATTGAACATTTTGTGTTGCTTTTTCTAGTTCTCACAACATTCCAATCCATTCTTACAAATCAAATTCAGTGAGCAAAGAGAGGAATTTGAAGAATGCCACCTTCACACCTTTCACTGCAAATTGTGCACCTGAGGACAATAGTAACAACATCAAAACTGACTTCTTGATCTCAAACTTCTATGAAAACTTTAGCACTCTGTGACTTTTCGCCAAGGAAAATGTTAGTCCTGCCAATACAAGCTGAATTTGAATTTCTTGGTTGTGTAATCATAACATTCTATGGCAACACCTAAAACAATTTTGACTGAAATTGAGAGCCAGGCTATTGCAATTTCAAATATATTGAACTAATATATAAAACAATATATTTTGAGGTGATTCCATATACAGTAAAAGGGGGAGTAATATTTATAAATGATGCAGACTGCAAAATGTAAAAATGATTTTTATTTTCTTTTTTAAAGTGAGGTTAACCCTATACAATGCCCAGGAGCCACTCAAGATAGAAGGTTATAAGAGTAAGAGGCAGTTTATGCAGAAAGGTGTGGAAGATAACAGTTAACACTAAACTTAAGCAGGTTAGGATTATAGTGATGGCGTCATGGTTCACTACAATGTGTATCACCCACAAGGAGAGAGAAATGCTTCTGGACTCTTATCAAGCCAGGAAAGTAAAGACTGGAAAGCTCCTGCCCAAATATAGCAATGATACTCCATTTTAGGCTTGATCAGTCTCTTGTAAAGATAGTGAGGTACTTGCTGGAGCAGTACAGGAAACTGACCATCTGTTCTGCATCTTTAGCAATGGATTGTATGTACAAGTTTCGCTCGACTCTTTGGAAAATTATAGGCTGTAAAATTTGAATTATTCTATTTTTGTCATGAAAAAACATTCATTTGTAATGAAAAACTTATACTGTAAGCTGCTTCATTTTTAACATTGCCCAATAAGCAGGAGTTACATTTTGAAAGGGCTGGTCACTTTTGTCTAGACTAACAACTTGAATCAGGCAAGTGGGTATATTTCTTTTCTCCTTTCTCTAAAAAGAAATAATGTACACTGAAATTAGTATAAGCAGAATCTCTGCTCAGAAATATCCAAGAGACTAAATCTCATGTTTGCATCTCATTTGTTTTGCCTCAGTAGTACTGATAAAATCTAAACTGACACGTCCACATTAGAGACATGATAATTTTTACTAACTCTGTTGTGTTGCTGCTGGATGGTTAAAGTATTTCAAGTTGAAAACAATTCTAGCTTATAAAAAAAAAAAAAAAATTTGGTGATCTTGCACTTTCTTGTATTAATTTTCAAATGCTTTGTTGATGTTTACATCACTTGCATGACCAACAAAAAAAAAAAGCCATCTAAAAAATTCAAGTCCTGTTTTTGAAAACTCATTTCAATATTGCAATGTTGATAATTTTTCAGCAATTTATATCATGCTAACCATCTTATTATTGAAAGGTTATCCTGTGTTAGTTTATGCAATTTCTATAAATTTATATTTAAATTGGTTAAATTAAATATAAATCTATACAATTATTTTGATCTACAATTTTTGATCATGCACATGGGCTTCCAGACTGAATATTATATCTTTAAGAAATGTGATTATAATGTGAATTTTGAAAAATTGAAATATAAAATTGTCATTGAATAAAAATAATTAACTTCAGATAAATATTAAGACTATTAAGTTCTTAGTTTTTTTTAAATTAAAAAAAAAGAAAAAAAGTCAAATTCTTAGTTACTGTTTAGAGAACATCAACTTATGATTCTGGTATTGCACATCATCAAATTCAGAAAAATATAAAAATATTTGCTTCTCTGTAATAAGGGAGAATTACCATCAGTTTATAACCTTGAAAAATTTTCTCTTTGATCAATGAAAAACAACAAAGCATGATTTGAAAATTTTACTAAAATAAATTTCTTACAATTACATCAATGACTTGACAAATGATTCACTTCCATTTCTGATTGAATCAATACTTTCGATAAACAAGTTTGGCTTTTAAAAAATTTTTCATTCTCTTCAAATTCTTATATTGACATTTTTTGATAAAGGAATACTGTTTTACGTTTAGACCTGAAAAAAAAATAATGTTTAAGCAGTGCCTCAATGTCAGTTAATTGTTAGTGAGCTGGACTTTTCCACCATCATCACTATTACCTCAAGTTTGGCACAAGGCTATGAGTGAGTTTCAAACTAAGCCAAGCTTAATAAATATATAAGAGTGGGTTTCCAGTTTCTTCTAAAGTCTACTTCTAACATCTCTGCCTAAACTCTGAAATTTTATTTACTCAATAGAAGATCAGTTCACACACCTCCTCAGTCATTTTAAACAGGGAGTAGAGGCTTGTCCCTGGTTCCTTCTAAAGCCTTCATTCTCTTTCACTCCCAGTAGTCCCTGGAATCATAGTGACATTATCACTTTGCTTGGGGTGAATTGATTTAAAATTAAAAAAAAATCTAATAAGGCTTCTTTTTTTTTTTATTAAGACTAATTGTACTGCTGGAAATCTCTTAAAAAAATTGATCTACATTGCTGAAAACAGGTAATAAATAAATAATAAATAAAGTTGACTAATCCTAGAAATCACATTTTCATTAATATGTTAAAGAAGCAATGTGTATTTCTGTAAAAATCTAAGATTCTCTTAACAGACTTTCTTTTTATATCACTCGCTAGAAAGAAGAATACATCAGCAGCCCAAATATAGCTCTACAACATGTGTCAAAAGTAATCATCATATAATGAAAATAATTTGTTACACCTCCTCACCTTCCAATTAATAAGTTGGCTGTTCTATCAATGTTTCTTAAAGAAAGTGTGGGGGGAGCAAAACTCTAACAGTCTGCAGCAGTTCGACCTCTGCCTGTTGAAATATGTCACATTATGAAACAGACTGGAAGAGGGGAAGCAAGAGACCAACTGATTTTCGCAGCAGAAAATAATTCTTTAGCAGCAGTACAAATACTTTTATTGCTATATTCAAATAAGAGTTTCTTCTGAGGGCGGTTTTAAATTCTTTTCTGATGCTCCTTCAGGGGAAGGACGACCGTTTTGAAATTTTGTGAGAACTTTGTCCAGTCGGTTAATGAATGTGTCCACATCATCTTTAATCATACCAATACCGGCTGCAGCAGTGAGATAACCGCATGGGTAGGAGTCAGAATGTGCACCAAAGTTTTGAAATTTGTATCCACAAATTGTTTTTGAACCACTTTCCTTAGCTACAACCCTAAAAATAAAAGTTAAAAAAAATCATCTTTAATGATGGCTTGAGTAAGCGAAATTAAGATAAAAGAATTATTTGTCAAACTTACAAAAATCACTTTACAATATAAATTATTTGGCAAACTTAGACCCTCACATCCTCAAAAGGACAGTTTTTTTCCATTTATTTACAAGAATTTTATATTTGCAACATTGTAAAAACTAATGCAATGCAATATTTATCCATTAACACCACCATTATTTTTACTACCTTCAACCTAAAAAGTGATGATTAGAATTGTACTAAAATCTAATAAGATGATGAAAGTGAATTAATACATTTTTTTCTTCTTTATTTATAAGAAAAATATTAAACACTATTCATTTATTAGATTGTCTATTTACAAGAATAATTTTATATTTACAACATTCTAAAAACAAATAAAATATTTATCATTTACCAATTCATAAAGAAATAAATATTAAAATTTTTTATTTATAAACATTTATTAAAATATGCAAGCCAACAACATGTAAATCCTTATTTACCATTTTATAAAGTTTGAATCAATTGGCAATTAACCAATGTTTTGCCAAGCATTCCAATAAATCTATTAAATAGTGTTTATTATTGTTTTCAAGAAAGAAAATATATAAATTCACTAATCATCACTTTTTAAAACAAATATTGCTGATGAGTGAAGGTAGTTAAAAATAATAGCAGTGACAAAAACAACTGTCCTTTTGACACTGCATTTTTATTTTTTTTGCAATCAAAAAAATCCAAGCTTGCTGATTATTTTTTTTTTATTAGAAAAAATAGAGTAGAGGAAGTTAGAATCTAAAATGTAATTGAATAAAAAAAAAAATGTTTGAATAATAAGTGAATTTTACAATCTACCTACATATACCTTCAGTTTTAAACAAGGTTGTAATAAATAAAAAATGGATATTGCTTATTAAAATGATTCACAGAATTAATAAGATATTCTTACTTAAAATGAATGTGTAGGGACATATTCCCTAACCCGACAAACCATGTGGTTTAATGAATAATGGCTCACAATTGTTAATCAGAGAGCCAAGTTCCAATTCCAGCTTGGTTCATTATATTCACTTACTAATAACCTTGTCAAAGATATGAATCCACCTCTTCTCTCTACCCACAACTATAGGTTAATTAGTAAGACATTACTGAAAGCATTATTATCTCAAAAAAAAAAAAAATAAATAAATTTGTGTACAAAATATTTAGACTTCAGCATTAAATGCCCTAGAGAGATTGATATGCAGCTAAACAAAAACAATCATCTAACCTAACTCGGTAAAGTTTTATTGAATAGAAGACACACTCAAGTCATACTGTTTTGCAAACACCACAATTCACAAGCAGCAGCAGTCCATAGAGATAGCAACCACCCATTCTAAACAGACAATCGGTTATAAGAAGCAATCTGAACCAGCTGGTTAAGGGTCAAACCTACTGTTCAATGAAAGAATTTTTGATTTACACATTAAGTTACTTATAAAATCAACATGAAGACAATACACACATTCTACACTACAACAAAAAAAAAAAAAAAAAAAAAAGATACATGGCACAGTGTTTAAAGGCATTAGTTATATCCAGTGGCAGAACTCAAAGAGGGTGAGTTCAATACCCGGTTAAGGCAGTGGAGAACTTTCAGAGGAAAATTAACAGGTGATAACTGACATCCATTAAACATGGCACATGGAACTAGAACAGTCTACCCAGTGAGCGAAATAAAGGGTTCAGTTCAACATTCTAACCACCTGAAGAAGGCCGGAGTGTACGAAGGCCAAAACGTTGTAATAAATATGGCAACAAAGATGAGGACAATAGTTCAAATAATGTAAATAGTGTACATAATACCTCATCTCAGAAATATAGACAGATACTTTCCTTTCTTGTAACCTTAACTAAATTGTTTTATAAAATGTATTTATTACAAAATATCTGTTTATTATTATTTCTTTATTGTTCATATTCCAATACTCAGATCATTTTGACAAAATTTGGATTGACAAAATATCTACACGTGTGTACCTGTTCAGTTAACAAGTTGCATTTAATTTATGATACTCAATGGATATACAACAGACTCAAGCAAATCCTAGAAGTAGATCATTAGATTTGTTTTTTTTTTTTATGATTGCATTTATTGCATTGCTTTTGTTATTCACACATTTCGGCCAGCTCATTCTAAAGCCGCCTTCGTGTGCATAATCCATATAGATAAAAGTAAGTTTTATTTTCCACATCAAAAGTAGGCAAACAAAATGGTGGCTAATATCTGAACTAGTTCAGCTCATTCCACGCAACATGAGCCACAGTTCTGTCAGCACCTCTGTAACATAAGAGATATAATATACACGGGTATGAGAACCAATTTACTCTTTGCTGAGTAAAGGCAAATTACTGTGCCAAAATTACTGTGCCACATTGATCAGACCAACAAAATGATGTCTTTGGCATCCTTCAAATTTTCCTTCTTATCTAACTCCTGTTTAGACAGTTTTCTCGAGTATAATTTTAAGCTGGTTTCTCCCTTTTTTGCCTTTCCACACTGAATGGAATATGAATGCAATTTTTTATCAAATCCTTCTCAGTTCTAAATGTTTTCATCTTCAAATTCAGAAGAGTCAAATTCAAATTGGATAATTTGAACTTGAAAATGTGAGTAATCAATTTTTTTTTGTAGGAAAATTACTCATTCAAATTAATTTTCACTATGAAAAATTAGTCAAAATGGATGTTCTTAAAATATGATGTTAGGTTAAAGAAAAAAAGGGGTTCTGTTTCTCACCTTGTTCCAGACACAAAGCGCTTGAATAGCATGGACCCAATCTCAGTGGCTGTACTTTCAGTGCCATCATAATTAAGAGACATAGCTAAAAATAAAATGAAATGAAAAGCTTGTCACATTTAGCATGTTTATTTATAAATTATAATAATTTATATTTTGTTTACATTAATATATCTCGTACGTTAGTGCTCATGAGTTTCATTCACAAAGGGAGCTTCAAAAATTTAGTCCCTTGTCTTTAAAAAAAAAATATGATAAAAATATAAACATCCTTGCTAAAATTCATTTTTTTTTTAAATCTCCAATCATGTTCAATACACAAATTATTTTGGATCTGTGTTCTAGTCATTCCATACTGCAAAATGAAACAATTCTGTTCAAGTAGGACTGGTATCAGCTTTTATTGACCAAAATAATATTTAAATTTTTTTTTTTTCTAAATAAGGAAGAAAATAAAGAATTGTAAAACAAAAGAAAAAGTCATAAATCAGGTGTCCAACAATGAACGTCTCACATTTTATTTGCTCAGGAATGGAAACATAAAAACTTGAATCACGTATCTTTCTTTTTGTCCAATAACTTTGATCATTTTTTTTTTACATCTTGTACAGAATTCTTTTAAGTGCAATGTTACTTCAGGACATGGCAAAACTCCAAAACTTCCTATACCTTTCATCCCTTAGCAGTTTTTATAAATTTGCTAAGAGTCCTGTCCCTCCTCCCATCCATTCACACAAGCTCATCAGGAAGGTGGGCTTGCTACTTTCCCTTATCTCTCTTGCCCTCAATATGTCCCTGTGATGGTTAAGTTTCCCAAGCCCTACTTCCTCATTATGTGTCCAAGGAACTTCAGTGGTTTCTTCTTGATTCTGAGCATAAGCATTCATTTTGTTGCCATTTTCTTTAAAACTTCTTTGTTTCTTACTCACTCATGTCTATGGAATTCTCAGTATCCTTCTGCAGAACCACATTTCTGTTGTCTCTAGTCTGTGGATAGCTTGTCCAGAATTCACTACCATATAAGAGGATGAATATCACATAGCAATCCAACATCCTTTTCTTTGTTTCTAACAAAATCTTTGTTTTTCAGCACCTTGCTTAGGTTTTAAAATGCCTTTCACTAGACCCAATGTGTGTTTGAATTTTGGTGTTGCATTTTCCATCTTCTGTTAAAACACTTCCCAGATATTTAAAACTAGCAGCATTGCCCGTGCTTGATTCAAAAATCGTACAACTCATACAGCAATTGCTATCACTTGACTTAAAATATTTTTGCCCTTCCTTGCCTTTAAAGGAGTGCCCTTTGCCGTGCTGATGTTGCTACATGCCTTACTTCTTGCCTATCTTACACTGCAAATTTTTTCTAAGCTCTATACTAAACATTAAATCTGTTACAAGAAAAGAACTAAACAAAATGGACACAAAACGATCAGCTTTAAAAAAGGACTCATAACTGGAAAAAAGAATGTTAACAACAAATACTTTTTCACACCCAACCCAGTTCTGCGGAATCAGAATCAACGTTGAGTTTAAGCAAACGAATGAGCCAATTAGAGTAAAGTGTGATGCAGATTAAAATGCTGGCCAATAGAATCTTCCTGCCTATTCATGGCCAGTACAAAATGGCTGCAAACTACATGAAAACTGCCATAGAAGCATGAAAAAAATCAATTATTTTATCAATGGGAGTTGGGAAATGCAAAGTCAGTCTTGGCCTTACCACTAACTTGGAGCATGTGCATGTAAATTTTGGTGCAAATCTGTCGAAAATTGCGGCCGTGCATTCATTACACACAAACACACACATCCTGCCTTTTATAGATAGAGATTCTGCACCAGCTTAATGTTAACATCTTCAATTTGTAACTTGCATCATGGGCTCATTTTCTTGCTGATGACCAATACTTTGTGTCTTTTTGCAGTTGATGATTAGTTGTTTGTTTCTCACTTTCTTTTCCTATCCTGTAGTTTTCTTTTCATATTAGCCATTAATGCAGTATTATCTGCATATCTTATATTGTCAAGAATACACCCACTGATAATAAATCCTGGTAGAGTCTCCAGCTCCACTGGGATAGCCTCACTATAGAGGTTGAATACATCTGGTGAGAAGACACACCCTTGTCTTACACCTCTTTCTATTCTTATGTAGCTACTCAATTCATTTTCTATCTGTATGCAAGTGGTTTGTTCCCAGTATAAGTTCTGGATTATTTTAACATCCTTTTCAAACAGATCTTGTGTTCCTAACAGTTCAAATAGATCCTTGTACTGTATCTCGTCAAATGCTTTTCCGTAATCTACAAGATATTAGTGCACATTCTTCTGCATTTGTATTGTTCTCTCTCTCTAATATCATTCTAATCATGAGGCATCAAAGACTGGAAATAAAAAATTGACTTGAGAGATTTGAAGACACACCCTTTATCCTCGTGAGAATCATCCATAAAGAAATTCACTTCATAAGTTTACACTAAACCAGACATAGTCAAACTTTTTCAATCAGAGACACTTCTTTTGTTTCTCTTCCATTTAAAATATCTTTCAACCTTAGAACTCACACTGAAGTTGGCAATTAAAATGTTAACTAAAATTATGAAAAGTTAAGAAATTTGAATCAGGTTCAAAATTTTCCACAAAAAACATATTTAAGAAAATATATTAAATAACCCCAATGAATCAAGCAAATAATATATTAAGTACACAAAGTCTAAATACAGCTAATTCTATTGAACAGAAATGCATAACTGCTATTAATATCTAATTAATAAGGTATTGTATGCAAAGAAGACATGTATACTAAATTTAGTTCATTTGCAGACTGACCTCCTTTTGACCCCTTGACTATCAACCTCTGCACTTTTGTTGCAGTCAGACCTCGATTGATAACCCATGTACTAAACAATGAAATATACACACAGCTGATCTCTCTTCCAATCTAACACAAACTACACAGTGGGGGGAAAAAGTGGCTGGTTACATTCAATGCCTTGAATACCAATTTAGTTACATTCCACCATTGTCAATCAGATACCAAACTACCATCAGTCATGATCAATGGATGCCCCCTTAGAAGGGCACTGTGCCTTGAGAGACTACTGGGCCTAGAAGTCACACCTGACCTCAAGTGGAACTCATAGATATGAGTTATTGTTAAACATGGAGGTAAAATGGTGGACTCCCTGTACCACTCCACTAAGTACCTGACTCCACATGCTATTGTCGGAGTTAACTCCTCCTTCAGTTCATTAACCCTTTCACCAGGGGTCTCTCTTCCCTGCCTATAAATAGCCGCTGACCTTTCGCCTCTATCTCTTTTTCCCCTCGGGCCTGTGCGCCGACACCTTGAGGTAAATCTCTCTTTTTCCTCAGGCTTTCAGCTATCAACCTCGAAATGTAGGCACTAACAAGGGATAGCGTGGAAACACGCTAAGCACAATACACACGCACGCACATACAGAATATTCACACACGCACGCACGCACATACAGAATATTCACACATGCACGCACGCACATACAGAATATTCACACACGCACGCACATACAGAATATTCACACACGCACGCACATACAGAATATTCACATACACTTCATCTTTTGTACTGTTTCCATGTATTGTAACTTGTTATTAATATATATTTGTATATATATATATATATTATCGGTCTTGTGTTTTGTTTGCTTTCTTTGCCTTCTTCTTTGGACTTAATCAAAGTCCAACCTTTTTATGTAGTTGGGCCCGGCGAGCAGGAGTATCTGAACCTTACATGCGTTTCTTCTACGTCTGACTTCACAACATCACAGCCACGGCCCTCTACACTATCCTCTACCTGTACAAGAGTCAGATCAGGCCAAGAATAGAGTACTGTTGTCATATTTGGGTAGGAGCAGCCCAGACTGCACTTTCCAACCTCAATAGAGTCCCAAAGTATCTCCAATTCTTTGTGGGTGACAGATTATTTTCCACCCTCCAACCTCTCTCTTACAGGCAGGATATGACAAGCTCTTTGCTGCTCTATCACCACTTTCACAGAAAGTGCTCAAACTACCGGGTGGTCCGAAAGTCTTCTCACTCCCTACATAGTTTAATTTTCAATTTCATTTTGTGCCACGGAAATAGTGTTTATATAGACCTTCTCAATGCGCGACTGTCAATGAAAGTGAATAAACTGAATTCAGTACATGTGCTTTGTATTGTTCTCATTTTTTGGTAGGAGGTGACACGACTTTCAGACCACTCTCTACATTCCTTGGTCCCACCAGGCCTATCTTTCACAGCAAGGGCCTGCCATGTCACCCACATTGTAGCAAACCACACACATTCCCTCCATATTCCATTGGAGAGAAACAAGTTCCACTTGAACAGCTTCTTCCAGCAAACCACTGCCCTGTGGAAACAACACCGAAGAGGATATTTCCCCAATCACAACAATCCTAACCTGTTCAAGTCTAGGGTTAACCATTGCCTTCCTCTCCTATCTGTACAAAACTGCCTCCTAATGTAACCCTCTACCTCGAGTGGCACCTGGGTCTTGTACAGAGTGAACCTTATTGTAAAAAAAAGAAAAAATCTCAAAACAAAAATGAAAAAAGGGCTACCTAAAGTTTAATTTTTATGCTTTATCTTATATATTTCCCAACAGTATGCATAGTAAGACACATAAAAGTTGTAATTAAGATACATGATAATAAAGTGTCAATAAATGAGAAGATAGTGATTGTCTCACCCATGGAAATAGTATTGCTGTTGATTTGCAGTACCCGCTGCCCATGTTTCTCTGCACATTGCACCAGAGCGTTCTTCAGGTAAGTGTACATTTCCTTCCTCTCTTGAAGTAACTGCTTGTAGCCATGAGACCCCAGGGACAAAAGAGTGATGAATAAGTCAATGGTGGGAGTCGAAGATGCTCTACCTGGAACAATAGACACATCAATTAATAATCAATTAACGTTTTCAATGACATGTAAGAATTCCTCCTAATACAGAATATTCACACACGCACGCACATACAGAATATTCACATACACTTCATCTTTTGTACTGTTTCCATGTATTGTAACTTGTTATTAATATATATTTGTATATACATATATTATCGGTCTTGTGTTTTGTTTGCTTTCTTTGCCTTCTTCTTTTGGCTGGGGGTTTTGACAATTAATGGATCGTTTCTTGGTGGAAGACTGAGATTCGATCAAGCTTTGACTAGCTTGGACTGGCTTCGGCCTGGACCTGTTAGGACAAGTTATGACCAGCTTTGACTAGGCTCTGACCAGCTTGGACAAGCTCTGACCAATATTTTGACCAGTGGCCTATGAGTGGAAACACTCGGGTCTCCCACGTTAATCGACCTTGTGTCATATCTTGATTTAGTGGGAATCAAGAAAATACCATTCCTCCTCATTTACATTTGATATTACAGTATTATATAGCTAGGATATGTACAGGTAATGGTAGTCTGTGACATTTTTCAGGAAACATTAACCTACCAGATATCTTTTGGATACAAAGTTGAGGTATTTTCTGTTAAGTTGTTAAATAGCTCAAATGTATACTTACTACCCAGTACAAGTATTGAACTGATAGCCTTCAGCTAATGTAAACTTATGCTTTAATAAGTTGACCTGTTCCACCTGCAGTTGAAATGGGTTCTGCCCATTGATTTCTATATAAACTTATATCAGTACCTCAACTAATTCAATGAAAAAACAGCATAGAATGATGAAAAAAAGCCTGAAACTTAATAATAATAAAAAAAAGTTTAATTATGAAAAATGTTTATGTTATTAAGAAGAAAGACCAAAGTATTTTTTATTATTTTATTCTTCTATCTAGCACATTTGAAATTTTGGTCAAAAATCTTGTTTTTTTTTTTTTTTACATCAGTGGTTGGCCGAATATTTACTGAGTTTTTTAGTGCCATTTTTCCGGTAAAAAACACTTTGATTTGAAAATCCTTGCAAAAATCAAATAATTCTTGGATTTTAATGAAACTTTCAGGATTTATTCATAAATGAATGAAATTATTTTTGAAATTTTTTTTTAGAAAATCTTGGTAAAAAATGTTTCCATGTTATTTCAAACTTAAAGTAATATTTGTTTCAAATCTGATTAATTGTATTTTAAATTGGCTAATATTCTTCACAGTTTCAGAAAAGAATATTTTATTTTTAGAAGATATTTTTTTAATACAGATAATGACATTGCGATGATAGACAACTAAAAAAGGGTGCTAATCAGTTATTTTAGCAAAAAAAAATAAATAAAATCAATTCCAATGAAATACACCAGAGTATTTTGCTTAATGGAAATAGTAAATTTAATTCTTTAGCTTTCAATTAAAGCTAAAATGAAAGCTTCAAAAAAGCTTTTTCATTTTTAAAAATTCAGTTTCAACCTTAGGTATTGAAAATTAGTGGAGATCCCTAAACTTATGGTTTTTCCACTGGGGTTATGTAAATCTATTTGCTTGGTGAAGTTATATCAAATTAGCTCAACATCTTAGTCATTTTCAGGGATAAAAAGTTGTGAAAGATGTTATATGAAATGGTATTAAAAGTTTAAGAAATTAAAAATTAATTTAAGTTTACTGGTAATAGTACATTTTTTTTAATAAATCCATAACTGAAACCTGACAATACAAATATAGGATGAGATTGTAACTTTTTTGTGAGACAGTATCAAATCAAATGACCCACCATGCCATGAACACAGAGTTGACACATTCATTGATAAGAAGAAATTTCCACTTAAGATAGATTCTGTCCCAGGACTGTTACATTGGGAACAGACTCCTAAAATTATTTATAGAAAAGGCTCATGCAAGGTATGTTATGGTAGTGGAGAAGTGATTGAAGCTGAGATGCCAGGTTAGGACCAATAACATGGCAACTTCTTTACAATCTTATTTTGCACTAAGATTGTGTTTGAGCTTCAAATAAGCACTTATTTTTTCTTCACATTATCAATGACTTAACCCAATCATGACCATTTTTTACAGTGGACATGATTTTTTGGAGTAGGAAAACAGAAGCTAATTGTGGAAAATGGGTGTCATTTTCTGATTAGGATGCTAGTTACATTTCATTATCATCATTGATCAGACCCAGAACTATCACCAATCACAATGAATAGATGTTCCTCAGGGAGGCCCCATGCCTCAAGTACCTATTGGTCCTTAAACTCAAGAGGAGCTAGTATACATGATCCATCACTAAAGCTGTTGGAAAATGGTCTGTTCCCTCTACTGCTCCAGCAAGTACAAGTCTCCTTATGTTATTCTTTACCTTTACAAGAGCCTGATCATGCTTAAAATGGAGTACTGCTGCCATATATGGGCAGGAGATGCTCAGTTTTCACTTTGCAACCTTGATAGAGTCCAAAAGCATCTCTGCATCCTTGTGGGTGAATGATTTATGGTCCTACAACCCCTTTCTCACAGATGAAATATCACAAGCCTCTCAATGCTTCATTGCTATTTCTATGGAAAGTTTTCAGACAAACTACATTCCTTCATTCCACCAGTTCTAAGACTTGCCATTCTATGCGAATTTCAGTGAAGGCCCCTCATTCCCTCCATATTCCATTGGTGAGAAGTTAGTTCCACACAAGCAGTTTCTTCTCACGAACCACTGCTTTGTGGAACCAACGCAAAAAAATACGTACCCGGGTACATTTTGCTAACTTCTTCTATAAAATTTTTATCAAACCCAGCAATGATAGCCCCTCCAACAGGAACCATGAAATTCTTATCTGTACTTTGAACGAATGCATCCACTCTGCCAACGCGCACAGCCTAAAAACAAAGAAAGCAGTTATAATATCAAATTATGTATTATGCATGACTAAAGTACAATTCTATCAAAAATGAAACACTATATTTATAAGCCAATGGCTGAATACGAAGAGAATCATAAGATTACAACACTCACAAAATATTTTTATACTTTAAAACAGGAAAAAAGTACAATAGAACCCCAATAAACACGACTGAATAACCATAAATGTATTGCTGACATTGCTTATGTTGGGGTGATAAACAATAAAAAAACTGAATCCTTGAATGGAATTCAAACATCCACCCAAAAGAGTTTATATTTAATTTGTATTAATTAAAATCAACATACTTCTCACAATACACTGTCTCATCACCAGACATCTTTATAAAATGTCTTCTTGCTACTGACATGCCACAATAGTTAACAGGGAAGAGAGAGCAGGTGCATGAACACTTTCTGCTATACTTACACCTCCAACCAACATACCAAAATGCTGTTACTTCCCTTGTCAACTAGACAAAGTCTATTCATTATTGTTGAGATGCTGCAATATATTATAGCCCCATGATGTAATAACTGGATTGGAACAAAAGTTTGTGACATTTTCCAAGGGGTGGCTTTCAAGCATGATGTTGTTTCACACGTGACTGAAATTTATGACATATATACATATTCTGAAAGGTGACATATCAATGAGATCTTTCTGTATGATTGAATTGTGAATGTTAAAAAGAGAAAACAGAAGAAAAAGACAAGGGTCATCCCTTTCTCAACTCTCCCCCTCATCTCTCCCAGAAAACAAACTTAGCAGCACAATCTAAAATAGTTCAAGACAGACCTCAGTAAATAGAAAATTGACAATTAAGATAAATCAAGCAGATCAAAGATTAATTATCTCAAGTGAGTAATCAGGCAAGTCTTACCTGTTGCAACAAGTGGGTGCACTTTGAAGACTGAAGTCCATATGCATTATTAACCAAATGAGGAATGTTTGAAGTTTTGCACAACTTTGCAATTTCTTCTAATCTGAAAAGAAATCCATGCAGTAATTGTCAAAGAATTTGATGTCAAAGATGCTCGATTTTGAAACAATGACACATCAACTAATTAACAATCAATGACTGTATTTGGTGAGATATAAAACCATCTCACTCATTTATAACTACTATTACCTAAAGTACACTATAGATATAGAATAAGTACTGGCAGGCTACAGTAAGTTTTTTCAAACTGTGGGTCCCAATCTTTCAGTGGGTCAAGATAAATAAAATGGGTTGCAACAAAAAAAAAATATATATACTCATATAAGAGCAAAGTGCAGAATATAAACAAGTCTAAATGTTGTACAGCACTCATAAAACATCGCTAGTTTTTCACTGATGTAAGCTCTTGTTATATTTTATTTTTTAAATATAATGATATATATATATATATATATATATATATATATATATATATATATGTATGTATGTATGTATGTATGTATATATGGTCTGTTCTCATTGCATTTATGTATCTTTTTTCGTCAAACTCATTGCAGATTGAGTGACATCAGTTCTTTCTCACAAAGATACCTCATGCCAAAACTTAGCTGTGAAGGTGTGCAGTGTATTCCTCTTTGTGGTCAGTTAAAGCCATTAAGATTGTTGAATAATTCAGTTGCATCTAAATTCTGGGCTAAAAGTGAATTTCCTGACTCAATATCGAAGTCAAGTACCAGTACATTCTTTCTGTGGTAGTAAGATGATGTGTTGCATTCATTTAAAGTCTTGGAATTTTCCGGGAGTTGGCTGTTGTTTTGGCGAAATTTAAGAACAGGCTAGTTTTTTTTAACTTATACTTGTAACTTGTGCTATCTGAAGCTTTCAGAAACAACCCAAATGATCGCTCATTATATCATTTGAAAAAAGAAGAACAATGAAGGAACAGCAGGCTAATCACCATTAACAGATACATCTGAAAATGCAACCCTGTGATCTAAAACAAATACAACATAGGGCAGGGTGGGAATTGAAGATCGAACAACTAACTTTAAGGCTGCACGTAAAAATCAACCACAGACTTGCCCAATAACCGAGGATGGGATTGTGATTTCATAACAGTATATCATGGAGTTGGTCTAAATACTAGCAGCCTACAGCATCTGAGTGGGCATAAGCCTACCAGATATCTCAATTTTCCCATATAAGACCCTCTTCCAATTTACATTTAACATTACAATATTATAGAGTAAGGCTAAGCTGTAGTCTATAGCATCTAGGGGAACATTAACCTATCAGATATCACAATGCTTACAGCCATATCATGTTGAAACACTGGTTCTCCTATGATCACCAAAGTTAAGCAATGTTGTGCTTGGTCAGTACCTAGATGGATAACTGCTTAGGAATACCAGGTGCTTTAAGCTCGTATGTGTGGATGGAGTAGTGGATAACAGCTTGGAATTAGAAATTGGATAACCAAGTTCCAATTCCAGTCAGGTTCGTTATATTCATTTATGTTCGAATAACCTTACAAAAGGTATGAATCCACCTCTTCTCCCGTCAGCTATGGAATAATTAGTAGAACATGTATTAATAAATCATTATCTCAAAAGAATTCTTACAATCTAAAAATACTTTCTGGCTTTAAATAACCTGTAAAGTGTTGATAGTTAATGTTAATTTTTATTTAATTTTATTTTTTTAGTAATTTTTTAATATTTTTTTTAGTATTTTTTTTTTTATTAGTTACTTTTTAGATAAAAGTGGAAAGGGATTTTAGAAGCCATCAAAAGACGTGTTATTTGGTGAAATATATTCAACTGATTAATTTACCTTATTAAGAACAAACAAATATTTTCCCCAACCTCAAAAAAAATGCATATCCATAGTTCCTGTTGACTAAATTTTCACAAACAATTTTAATGGCCGCATTCAATACTGGATATACCAGACATGTGTGTCTAGCAGGTCAATTCAGTATTCTTTAGCTACCATGGAATATGGGAGCAGAAGACCCACCAGGATTGCCCTGTTAACACAACAATACCAGATACAATATCTCACCTGTTCTCATGACATTGCTAATTAGAGCCTGAATTATTATCTAGGTGAGCCAAATTGAAGTTTAAGAATGAGCCTTAAGAGCTATCCACCCCTGCACCATCTATCTCTGTATATGTATTCCTAATTAGTCATAGAACAGAACTTGTGGAGCACATTTTTATGGCCACATCATGTTGAAACACAGGTTCCCATACAATTACCACAGTTAATCAAGATCAAGCCAGGTCAGTACCTAAATGAGTAATCGTTTGGTAATATCAGGTGCTTAAGCTGGGATCTGCAGGTGGCATAATGGATAATAGATCAGAATTGTTAATCAGAGAGCCAAGTTCCATTTGGGCTTATTCACTTACATGCAAATGCCCTTGGGAAAGCTATGAATCCACCTATTCTTCCCCCAGCTATGGGTTAATTAGTAAGACTTCTATCACTAAATTATTATTATCTCCAAAAAATAAGAAAATTCTTACAGTCAAAAAATATTTTCTGGCTTTAAATAACCTGAAAATCAATTGTGGAACACATGTTAATAAAGCCATTTTTCCTATTTAAGTTAGGTAACATTCAGGGAATTTGGCACTGGGGATAGATTGATCTAATGCCATTGCCCATGTCTAGTGATACCGCATCCTTTTTTTTTTCTTTTAAACTGCTCATTTATTGCTAGTCATTGAATCTGAGTCTTTATGTTCTCAAGCCTTGTACAGGGTGAATACCACAATAAAAAATAAAAAAAACGCACACACACAGTTACTATACCACCAAATTCACAAATCAATACTTTAATGCTCTTGGCTATGGAACAATCCTGAAGCTCAAACTTGGAGACTTCATGTTCATATTGCCTGTCAGCTGCTGCCACTGTTGCTTCTGCCTTGAAACAAAACAAGCAATAATTGAGCAGTATTAAAAATAACTCATCTTGTTTAAGATATTCTTAAACATGGACAGAAAAACAAGAACAATAAGCAGCTTCTTCCCACAAACCACTGCCTTGGGGAACCAACTCCCTAGAGGCTTCTTCCCCATTCACTGCAATCTTAACTTGTTCAAATCTAGGGTTAACCATTATCTCCCACACCTATCCACATAAGACTTGATAATCCTCTACTTTGAGTGGCCCTCAAGCCTTGAATACCACTGTAAAAAAAAAAAAAAAAAATGAAAGAGCTCATTTAAAAATTCCTTGAAGGTTATCCAGATTTGAGGAATTGTATTGAGGAAGCAGTCAGCCAAGTTTGAATTCCAATCAAGTTTGTTACATTCACTTATGTACTAATATCCTTGGCTAAAGTATGAATCCATCTCTTCTCTCCACAGATGTGGGTAAATAGCAGGACTGACTGGGTCCTTTAGCCTTGAGTGGCAACCAGTCTAAGAGAAGGACAACTCTGAATTCAAAACCTCCAACTATGGATCAAATAGCCTTACCAACCAGCAATTGGCAAAGTATAGTGAGTACCACAACACCCCTGAAGATATGGTCAATCAGGGAGGGGTTCCTCCAACAGGAGTGGGAAGGCCTGAATTTGGATACAAAGATCAACAGACACCTGAAGAAGGCTGAAGAGTACAACAACCAAAACATAATAACAATAAAGATGAGGACATTAGTCCGACTATAAGTAATGAGAATAATGATTATGAATATTGTTTATAAGTATGTCACATACACATTTGGCCAGCACAACACTCAATACAGACAATTTGAAATGACCTTAGAATTAACCCTGACTTTTCTTCAGAATAATTTAATGTAGTGAGACTGTTCCTACATTTAACAAGATCTAAGTTCTGCTACATAAGGAAGAACTTACTGATTGTATATTCAAAGCTTTTTTAAACTACAGCTGACTTTGTTTGAAAAACTTAAACAAAAACTAACTTGTCTGGACCCCGAGGGGCAAAACAGCTGGTCGTCGAGAGGACGCAAAGAATATTCTCAGATCCTAGCTCCTGGATTTTAGCAGTGATGGCATCTATATCCGTTCTTAATTCATCTCCTTCAAGAACATTCTCAATGATGACTGGTTCAAAACCTGCAACATGGAACCAACAATAGAATCAAGGACAAGAAGGACATCATGATGACAGTAGCAAATTTACAGCATCAATTATCCCTAATTTACAGAAATAAAATCATAAAAAGGGTTTGGCATACATTAATCATATGATTCAAAAATATGTTTCGACTTTAAATAACATACAAAAGGTTGATAAGCAGTAAAAAAAAAAAAAAAAAATCACTCAAAATGTTTCATGTTGAAGAAAAATTCTGCTATATTATCAGAAAGTACAATTATCTCAAAAAAATTTTTTTTAAGTTATTATCGTCCGATATGCATAATGTAATAGACATATAGCAAATTACCTACCTGCAGTAACCATAGATTTGAAACAAGACTTCTGGTCAATGCGTGGCCAGAGTACATATTTGGCCTTTGGACGTTGTTGCTTCATAGTCAACATACATAGTACAAGGGACATTCCTGTTGCCATAGGAACAACAAAGCAACTTTTGGCTGAGGTCACACCTACAAAACAAAGATATATACTTTCATATATCTGGCATGTTTCAGTCTATCTTTTTGATATTCCATATATGTTTTGAGAGGGTTGTGCTATTTGCATAGTTTTTGTTGCTAATTGAGGTTTGCAATGGCTACTCACCCAAAAACATCATTTCGCTCTTAAATAAAAAAAAAAAAAGATTATAGCTCATTTTCAAATTCAATCACAAAAACAAATTTTGACTATGCTACCTACAATGAAATTATGACCAAAAAAAGATTAAATAAAATCCCATAAGCTAAATTTCAAGTCCTAAAATAAAGAGCCAAAGAAAAATATAAAACAAATAAGAGGGCACAGCAGAAATACTTCTCATATATACCTCCCAAAAATCCTTCCCACATAATAGTAGGATATTAGTGGCAATGGTGTCTTCATCTAGCTAATGTCTTACCATTATGTAGTAGATGTATGTGATTTCTGCTGCATCCTGTATAAGTGAATAAAATAATACATTTAAAATAAATAAAACATGTAAAAGCCATGATTATAAATAACCTAAAACATTAACCTTAACCAAAAAAAGCTTGTTTCCTCCTTCCACGACTTCCCTTAATCCCTCAGTGACTTATATAAAGAGAGCCCACGAAAATACATGGTTTGAAGATCACTTGAGGTGTGAGACAGTCAACATGCAGTGTTGATTCTTATGTCTGCACTGTTGATATCTATAAATGTTCTATCTCAGATATTGAGCACTCAACCCCCATGAATATAGCAAATTTTTAAAAATATATATTCCATACATGCAGATATTGTGTATATATAGGACACATGTCACCAACTGGCTTTCTTTACTTGCATGTCATTTTGAGAAAGTTAGAATCACATTCTAAAAACACATTTTACATTGAATCAAGGTAGGTAACTTTCTTCAGAATAAGTTGGGTTTATTTTAGGAAATAAAGCACACAAATATTCATAGTAAATTTCTTTTAAACTGTTATCATTTTTTTTTAAACATTCACCCCAAACAAGACAATAAAGCCACTAACATGCAAGGGGTTACTGAGTGTGAAAGAATATAGAAAAAGAAAGGCATTAGAGAGAGAGAACAATAAAAGAAAAGTAATTAAAAAACAGAAGATAATGATTGACACTGCATTTAAATTTTTGAAAATCAAAGTTGACTGAAAAAGCCAGAAGAGAATTTCACAAGCTGGAAGTGTGATAGAAGAAACTGTTAGTATAGAACTTACAGTTACATATGCCAATACCACGGCCCTAGATTACAACCAATACCCACAAATGGGAGAGTATCTTGTACAATTTGAAAGGGAAATGTATCTAATAGAATTGTCTTGTTTTGGGACATATAAAACAAAAGCAAACAGAACAATGAGAATTTAGATGTTGTAGCAATAAAATCCATTTTATTCATCTATTTGGATCTAACGTGGAAATCTGATCTACCAGACAACCTCAAATGAAGATTCTTTCACACCACTATTAATGTATGTTGCCACTGCTTGGACATTAACGAAAACCCTTGAGTCTAAGCTCGATGGAACCTATATCCAGATGCTGGGAGCTATACTTAACATCTCCTGGGAACAATATCCAACTAAATCACAACTCTATAGACCCATTCCTGATATTTCTACAATCATATGCAAATGCAGAATGCACTTTGCAGGACACAGTTGCCGAACAAAATAAGAACTTGCAAGTGCTCTGGACATCTACACATGGAGCAAGATGGGCAGTTGCCAGGCAACCACCTTCATTGACCAACTATGTTATGGCACAGAATACCACCCTAATGACTTCTGACCTTGATGCAGGACTGTGCTGTCCAAGCTAGCTCAAGAGAATAATAATAATAATAATAATAAAGAAGAAAGTAATGCTAGTTAAGTGGATGATGTCTGCCAAATGGAGTTTTCAGAAAGTCAATGTCAAAAAGTTGAACTGCATTTTATGTGCAAAACATGGAAACAACCAAGCTAAGCTTTAAGACATTATTGCAGGTGTCCTAAGCAGGAACATGTTTGGCTATCCCTTCTTGCATTCCACATGGTAAGTGTTTTGGTAATCTCCACCTAAAATTTCTAACCTCCCAGAAATTCCCTTTCCAGTCTTTCATTGATGAGAAGCAATGAATCGATCTAATCTTCTATTTTTATTTTTACTGGTTACAGCTTTTAACCATCTTGTTAGAATCATTAAGACAGTTTTGTCACTATCTGGGTTATTTGATATTAGTGTTTATATATATATATATTCAGTACTTACAGATACAGGCTTAATATTTGAAATGTTTTTTATCACTTTGGTACAGGAAAGTATGGAAATTTTCCAGGTGATTCTGTAAGTCTGAACAGGAGAACATTAGATGATTCAATATGGAATTAACAATCTATATATTTAAAAATAAGTCACATTAACCTTTTTTTATCATAGATGCAGTCTCTGAAAAAAAAAAATAATCCTTTATAATTCTGCTGGTCCCTCCTAATTATTCTTAAAAAGGAAAGTTTTAACATCACTATTCAGGCTAGCCAACACATTTGAATGTTTTGGGTCTTCCACTGTTTCTTCCTCAGAGTAATCAGGAAAAACATCAATATGAGATAACATTGAAAACTTACCACAAATTTTGAGAGCATCAAGGGCTAAGCTGTTGGTTACTTTCATGAGAATACTTGATCCAGCGGCTTTGGGTTGAATAGCTGTAATGTCACCTGATCGACCAATTCCATGGCCAAGTCTGAAATAAAAATACAAGAGCATTACAGAGAAATTTGTTTTTCTTTAAAACTTAATAACTAGATAAGATGGACGTGTGGATAGTGTAATGGTTATTAACACAGAAAATGAAATCAGTGATCAGAGTTCAAATTCCAACAGAGTTACATACACTTTACACTAATGTCCTTGGCAAAGTCATAAATCTTTAACTGGACTGTCTAACCTTGGGTGGCAGCCAGTCTAAAAGAAAAACTTTGAATTCAAAACTGTGAAGAAAGCAATAGGAAACCACTCCCTTTCCCAAAAAGTCATGGTAAATCCCAGATAATAAAGAAAAGGAATCTGAGGAGAGTTATAATCACTTAAATCCTGATAGGATATGATGTTAAAAAAAATAAATTTAGATAATTGCATCTTGTAGGAAAAGTTTATTCTTAAATTCTAACAATTCTAATAGTTAGAATGAACACAACATATACAAATATATATTTCAAAGTTTCTATGATATTTTTGAAGAATATGTTCTTGAAAAGACCTATTTTGGTTGTATGTTTACAATATTAGGAAAAATAATGACAAAATAGAAAAACGTTTTTGTGTGACATGTTTTGTCCTTTAGGAATTCATTGGACTAAAGTGATTTTTACATTGATGTAACTATACTGCTTTAATCTGTAGGTCATCCACAACAAAATTTACATCCACCTTCATTGACAGATCCTATTCTCATAATGTGGAATGCTTAATACCAAAAACGATAAAAAATAAACAAACAAAAAAAAAAAAGTAAATGTAATTGGTTAAACTACATACCTGAACATATAAAATAATAAAAATAAGTTTAAAATTTCAATATCCCCCTCTCCTTCATATACAAGTATAGTTACATCAATGTAAACACCACTTTGGTCTAAAAGGATGAAATGCATCACATTTTTTCCACTTTGTCATTAATTTTCTGATTTATAAAAGTTTATATATTATTTTCTCCCACAATATTTTATATCTCAGTTCTCTATGTTCAATTTTCTAATTTAAAAAAAAGAAAGACTACTACAAAAGCGTTTCACTTTCAAAACAAAAATTAAAGCATTTTTATGTATTTAATAGCTGAGGTACCTGGTGTTGCACAGGTGTACATGGCTGCAATTATAGAACTGCACCCCCCTGTATACCCACATCCCCATCTAGAAATGTCTGCCTGCATTCCCACTTTCATGCATCTTCCATTAGTATACCAAGATACTCCCTGCCTTCATCTTTTTTACAGTATTTGATGTTCTTAAAGGAATTTCATCGATAAAACCTTTTTGTGTGGTTGTTGCTCGGCGTTAAATTGTTTCAATGTTTTAGATATTCAGTAAATTTCCTATGGCCATAATAACTTTCAAATAGTATGGTATTGTTCACAAATCTAATAATCAAACAAAAACAGGGACGAAGTGTCAGAGCTTGATTCAACTGAAAGTACAAACACATGCACACTCCTCTGTCTTTCTTCACACGTTTACTGTAAAGCTGAGATTAATAAGAGGTTCTTCAGGAATTTTTCCCTTTTAAATGCTTCAATAATCCTTCTCAAACAATCTTTGCATTAAAGGCTTTTTGAATGCCAATATAGGATGGAATCATATGAAGAAACTATTGGCTAAATAGTAAAAGCCGATTTTGGACCTAGTTTGTTGCAGATTTTGTCCACTTAAACTAAACCTAAGCCAAACATTCATGCAAGACAATTTGTGTCATATGTAAATTACATGGCAAATCTGTAAAAGCATCAGATGAAAAACCAGGGAGTTATGGCTGAAAAGAGGACATTTTTAACAGTTTTCATGGTTTTTCATTATACATGGGGAAGCGAGCAGGACTAAAACCACACTATCTTATTTCTTGCATGATGGCAAATTTTTTGCGACATTTTGAAGAAAATTGGATAAAAAATGAGGAAGTTATTCAAGTTTTTATATTAAGTAGGATGAAAAACCTGATTTTTTTTCAGTTCTTTGAAATTTTTTTGTGTGGAACCTATGACGCAGGAAAACTATCAATTTACCCATAGCTAGGGGAAGAAATGTATTCATACCTTTTTCAAGGGTAATAGTATGAAACTTCAAATAAATCAGCTATAACAACAGCTTGGACGGTCAGTGAATCTTCAGTGACAGCCAGTTGGCGACTTCAAATGAATCATCTCCAACAACAAAGAAGATGGTCAGTGAATTTTCAATAAAAATAAAAGTCTTTTTTTCAACCACAGATTTTTTCTGTGAATCACCTATTTAAAAATCCTATCTAACCCACAGCGATTTTTATGAACAAATTACCCAAAAACTTAACTAAAGAATATTTTTAATTTATTTTTACTTTTTTGAATTCATGTAAACACAAATGATTTATTTAACAAGCATACTCAAGTTTTTGTTTTCTTTATTTTATTATTGTTTGTAATTCAGACATCCAAATTTTTAACATAAAATATCCTAGACAACTGAATTTCATATATATATATATATATATATAGACAGACAGACAGGTTTCATTGAATAATTTAGACAAGTTTTGTCTACTTATTTTCCTTTAATAATGTGGCCAAAAAATTTATCTATGAATATCAAAGGATCCAACTGAAATTAAGTAGACAAAACTTGTCTAAATTATTCAATGAAACATGTCTCAATGAAAACATGCTACCAAAATATACACTATATATATATATATATATATATATATAATAATATATATAAACATTGTATAACAGTGACATTAATAAAGCTTGACTGGTGGAAACTCTTAACCTGTAATGTCTTTTAGCAACCAGTTGGGAAGCAATTCTGGCTTCTCGTTCACCAACACCACAATTCCCAGGAAAGTTGTTGCTGTCCATCACAGATAATTCTTGCAATACTAACTCAATGGTCAGGTCATCCCAGCCCTCTTCTGGAAGTTTCCGCTGAAGAAAAAAAAAGAAAACAAAATTCAACACACTTATACAGCACCTTTATATTAATAAGTGCTTATCTAACAACCAGTATACAGTGTACATAATACTTTCAGTACAAAAAACATGACACAAACAAATGATTATTCTCAGAAATGACCTTAATACTCAAATATCCATTAATGTCTTTATTTTGATGAAAAAAAAAAGAAGGATATGTGATATTCTACTATAGTAAGTAAAAGACTGACATTATGTAACAGTTTAGTACTCTTTTGTTTGTTTCTAATGAAATTTTCCTGTTTGGCATAGATTTTACTATAGCAATGCTTCTTCGGATTTCAGTGTCACACTTTCAAGTCCTCTGTTAAAACACTTTCTTGATATTTAAATTTTTTTACTTGCTTGATTTTGGCATCTCTAATTCATAGTTTGCATCTTGGGTTCTTCCTCTTGCTGACAACCATACTTTCTGTCATTTTGCAACTGAAGTTTAGTCCTTTCTTCTTGCTTTCCTTTACTACCTTCTCTAGGAGTTCCCAAATGTTTCCTTCTGTGTCTACTCGCAACACTGTGTATTTTATAGTATTCAGATTTAAGATTTCCTTCACTACCTTGTCTCAGAGTTCCTTCAGTTTCCTTTCTGTGTGCACTATCAACACTGTGTTATTTGTATATCTTATGTTTTAAGATTATGGCCATCAATAATGAATCCTTGTAGGACTTTTAGTTCTCTCAGGATCACCTCATTGTAAAAGTTGAATAACTCCATTGAGATATTTTGTTTAATCTGCATACCATATATACTCATGTATAAGCTGACTTTACTCTCAAACCTTGAATGTTTTGCATGAATTTGAAGCCCATCAAAAAAAGAAACTACCTCTATAGTTCAACCAGTCACCAAAAATGCATTTTTTTTAACTCTTCAAAAAATTTACCTGTGTATACTGTACCCTTTCTTGACCTATTTTTTGTGTAAAATCAATGTATATATATATATATATATATATATATATATATATATATATATATATATATATATATATATATATGGTATACTTCCTCTTAATTTGAAGATTTCTTTTACAAAATTATACTTCCATTGAATTTCAACTGAACTTAAATTTGCCCTTGCAAAGAAGCAAACAAAACAGTTCCAACTGGTTAAGTGGAATCAGAAAAAAAAAAAAGAATTATTATCTGCCCAAAAAGCAGAAATGCTTAGCCATTATACTATACACATCTAAAAATAAAACAGTGAGGAGGGGTGAGAGGGTTCAATGGAGGACTTTAAATCTCTTTTCCATTCCTTTACAAATACATTTAGGAGCAAAAAAAAAAAAACAAAACTCGTACTCAAACTAAAATTTGCAAAGGCACAAACATTTAATCAAAATGACAAAACATGCACATGTTCAAATAAATGTGTCAGTGACTTCAAACAAACAACAAAGAATCAGTGAATCTTCACCAACAATAAAAGTCTTTTTTTCAACCCAGCTTTTTACTGTGGGCCAACTATACAAAATAAATTTACTTGCTTCAAAAAGTTCAGTTTAAAATATCGAATGTTGAAATGGTGATCTACCTCAGACAAAGCTGGTTCTCTGGGTTCTTTAAACCAAATATTCAGGTTTTGGAATAAGTGTTCTCAAATATGAGATAAACTCACAGGTTTAGAAAAGACATTCATATATCAAATTAAGATTCTTCTTTTTCTTCACCCACAACAGTAGTAATAGTAGTAATGATTGCAGCAGCCTTTTATCATCCTAAATTACAGCTTTTGCATTCAGATAGTCGAATCCTTTCTCAATAGCAGGCTTTATATGCCTGTGATGGTCAGTCTTCTCTGCCTAGATCACAGCTTTCTCGCCCAGGTGTGATCTGTTGGTTTTTCTCCCAGAGATAGTCAATTTTTTCAGCAGCAGCACTTTTACACACCTGAGATAATTGATCATTTCTTATCCTTGGTCACAGCTTTTCTCGCCAGAATGGTCAAATCTATTCTGGTCACAGATCACAACTTTCTTGCCTGAATGTTCTACCTTTTCTACTTTTGCAAAAGCAATCTTTTTCTGTTCTTATATAGCAAACAAGTGACTCTGACTGGATAAAAAAAAAACAACAACTCCATAGGAGGAAGGGAGTATATATACATTTTATCCCCATTGGTTAAAAACTCAAGAATCACTTCCAAACCAAACTGCACCCATTTGTGATTTAAATTTGATAGTTTTCTGACATCAAAGCTGAGTCCATTCTCTGTAAAATTTTACTACAGAAATGTTTAAACTGTCTGGTTTCATTTTGGCCATTATTTTTTTTTTTTTTTGAAGAAACCATATTAGTAACATTTTACCTTAATTATTTTTTATACAATTCAGTATTATCTTATATATTAAAAATATTTTATATTAATTTTCACAAATTCCAATATTTTCTTAATTTTTCATGCAATTTTAATAACTTTTATTAAAATAATTTCTACTTTAATTTTTTTTTTTTTTTTTTTTTTTTTCCAATTCCCACATTTTAATATTGTTTTAATTAACAAATAATTTTTACACATCTATAGGAAATAAACACTATTTCCAATACAATTACAATTATTTTCTACTCAATAACAAACAACATAAAAAAATATGCCAAAAAGATTCCACAATACAATACACCATTTAAATTAAAGTGTCTATTGGTTAGAAATTAACATCACCATATGAAATGACCAGAGAAAACTAAAACCCTATTTCTTTCAAGCCTACTTTCAGGAAAAATGTCTTATAAAATCTACAAATTTCAACTTTGAGAGAGCAGAGATACGACTGAGTCCAAGCCAAAGAGAAAACATGGCTACATAGCTTTCCCCTTCCCCACAACCTGTGCTGAACGAAACATGTGTTGGCAAATCCATATCATCTCCAACCACAAAGACAGTCAGTGAATCTTCACAAACAATAGCCTTTTTTCAACCTGTTTTTTTTTTTTTGTTTTTTTTACTGTGGACCAACTATAAAATGTTTTTCTATACTACAATTTTTTTTTTTTGTGAACTACCCAAATACTTTAACACAACTAAAAATACTATTTTTAATTCATGTATATATGTTTGTTGTAAATTAAACACAATAAAAGTGATTTCATTTATTTAACCAACATAACCATGTTTTCCTCATTTTTATTTTATCATTGTTTGGAATTTGGATTTTTAAGCATAAACTACAAGCGGACAGAATGCATGGTCATCAGTAAAAGGATGAGCCTGAAATACGATTTACAGGTCAGGGACACTAAAATCAAGCAGGTGCAGAAATTTAAATATCTGGGAAATGTTCTGACAAAGGACAGTAAGTGTGATGTTGAGATCTGAAGACATATTAGGATGGCCAAATATGCATTCCCAAAGCTAAGCAGAGTACTACAAGACAAAAGGATTTTGTTGGTACCAAAGAAAAGAGTATTGATTGAACTACTACATGATATCTGTCTTGCTTTACAGCAGCAAATAATGGACAGTCTCCTCAAATATGAAGAAGAGACACACAGCAACGGAGGTATGGTTCTACAGAAGGATGCTAAGGATATCATAACTGAGCGTGTGAGCAATGATGAGGTTTTGGAGAGGATGCAAACAAGGAGGAAGCTTATACTTAATATCAGGAAGAGGCAGCTGAAATTTCAGGGATACGCAATGAGAAAGGAGGGCTTGGTGAATCTGATACTCACAGGGCAAATAGAGGGAAAGAGAAACAAAGGAAAGTAATGCATAATAAGTGAATGATGGAACAGGGTCTGGGAGAAGTAGCAAAGGGACAAAACTTATTGAGAGCTACAAGGGATAGGGGGAAGTGGAGAGCCATGATCACCTACGTCCTTAAGGGACACAGCACATAAAAGAAGAATATAAAAAAAATAAAACGCCTGGCAGACTGAATTTCATGCACATTTTTCATTTTAATGAAAAATCACTAGATCAGACACTGCCAAAATAACAAGAATAAAAAAAAGTAAAAGAAAGAGATTCACCTATCTTATTTTTAAAATTAAAATTTTAAAGGAAATTTTTCCTAAATGTATTTAATTTTTTTTTAATCTGGTAATTAAGTGCTTTTATATTCCCCGTTTCTTGTTTTTTCTTTTCTTTTTTTTTTTTAAACTAACCTCATAGCTAAGTTCTTTCGATTTGAAAGCCATGCATTCTAAAAAATAAAACGAAAAATGAGTATCCAAAAAATAAAAAGCAATTTATTTCCACACTTTTTTTCTTTCTGTACAGTAAACAAAAACTTTAAAAGGACAACATATCGATACAAGCAAATGGAAAGATATTTCCGGAAACTCATAGAAGAAAGTAAAAATGTCTTTGTTTTGACTTTTAGAAACTCTTTTTTTTTTTACATATTTTTCTTCAATGTGAATAATTTTTGGCAAGTACATTCTCATTCGATTCTTCGTTTTATTTCATATTACCGCTCAAACAAAACGATTTCCGCATATAACAGAAATATTCATAACAGACTATCATTCCAGAATTTTATATGGTCAATGGAAAGAACTCTTATGAGGTCAGTTTAAAAAACAATAGAAGAGAATGTCAAGCCTTCTTACATTCCCCCTTTTTTTCGTAAATGTTTTGTTTTTGTGATTTGTAAGGTAAATAATTTGGAGTGCAGAAATCGCTTACTTAACACGCTCTCTAAACTAAAATGATAACTGCTGGTTAGACTAATTTGGGGTTTTAGGGAAAAGATTTAATTCAAAAGGAGAAATTAAAAAAGGAAATCACTTTTTTTTCTTCTTTTTTTTTTGAGATTATATTTGAAACGAAAGGTCTATCCTTTCTTTTTGGAGGGGGGCGGGAGGATTCTTCCCATTGAATTCAACCCAGATTTCCAATTTTCATATAAAAAACTTAAAAAAGTAATTAACGTGAGTTTTTGCACAACAGAAACCTTAATTAAAGAAAACTTGAAAAAATACTATTTTGACTACTAGAAACAAAAATAACTGCAATTGAATGTTTTACTTTTTTATAATAGTTGTTTTTTTTTGGGGGGGGGTCCGATTGTAAATGATTTTTCTTTCTTTCTTTCATCAGTCTTGTTTTCGGGATTACAGAAAAAACCCGAAATGAAAACAAGAACACTAATTCTAAATTCGCAAACAAGATTTGTTTTTAAATTCTAAGCAAGAAAAAAATCCATTAAATTAACCAGTAACTAATAAACAGTAGAAAACAAAAAAAAAAAATAAATCAGAACATTTAACAATTGAAAAACAAAGTTCGACAATTTTAAATTTTAATAAGATATTGTAAGCTAGTAAAAATCTAAAAAAAAATGATCAATTTTTTATAATTTCTATTTTTACATTTTAATAATTAAATAAGGAGACAATGTATTTTTCTTCTTTTTCTTTTCTTTTATTTTATTTTTTCTTCTTTTTTTTTCTTTTTGTCACCTCACAATAAATGTGACAATATCTAAAAATTCAAGACTTACGTGTTGTAAAAGAAGTCGTAGTTTGGTTTCATGTGCTTTTCTCGCCTGAATTCCTTGTTGGATGTACGACGAAGATACCAACTTCTCACACAATTCTGATATATTAGAATTCATTTTCCTATTTTGCTTCTGCCGAAACAAGTCAATGAGCAAGAATAATGAAACTAAAACACCTTTCTTTAATTTTTACTTTAAATTACAATTTACTCGTATCCAGTTTTAAAAACACAATAAGATTTTTGCTTCCTCTTTTTTCTTCTTGTTAATAATTACGACTGTGATTAAACACTTTTTATCCCTTAGATAAAACAATCCAGAGATCCAATCTATAATTGATCGATCAAGACCTGTCTTTACATAATTGTTTTGGTGCTTGTATTTACGGCCAGTTTAAAATCTACGCTGTAAATAGATTCACGGTGTTAGGTGATAAAAATCTCCGCTGCAAAAAAACACCATTCAGATTTCTGACATTAATTTTTTGTTTCATTAATTAAAACTAAAAGAAAAATTAGAATAATTTATTTCCAGCTATCTTACTTTTATTTAATTGATAAAATCAAAATATAAACTATTGTTATTTAATATCAAATTAAAAAATTTAGAGAAGCCTTTGGAATGAATACAAAACTGTTTGTTTTACTATGGTAAAAAAAAACATCCAATTTTGCTCACATTACCCTAAAAATTCTACATCATCATTTTTATATACATACACTTCAGCTGGCAACCATATTGCTAAACCAACTATTTTGTTAATATGTGTTGCCAACTCCCTAAATTGAAAATGCAGAATGTAAGGAGAGTTTCCCAACCAGAGGGTCACAAACCCTATAGCCATTGCAGAATGTAAGAGTTTCCCAACCCAAGTGCCACAAACCCTAGCTATGGTATATGCAGCCTCTCTTAGAGTATGGGAAAATTAAATAAAACAATAAAGAATAAAAAAAATACATTTTCCCATGATACAAGTAATAAAGGAACCAGAAAGAGTTTAGTTTTGGTCATCTGCGCAATTTTATGATCCTGTGGACTCGTCCAATATCCTTACCTTTCTAACCCTAACAAAAGCAGAGTCCACATCGTACGCCTACGTACCTAGAAAACTTCAACCAATAAAAACGACAAGAAAAGAAGCAAACAATCCATTGGTCAATCACTTGAAGTTCACGTGCAAAACAGAAATTGCGCCAAAACCAAGTGAGCCACTTTTTGAAACCCGGTGGATATATAAACGGAGAACGTTTGAACCTTCAGCAGTAATTACCAAGTTTCGAGATGTAACATTCACCGACTCTCGTCTTAGTCATTGCTGACCAGACGTTAAAGACAATTACCAACTTCATGCAGTCAGTCTCACAAATTCGCAAAGTAATTTCCAATATCCTCCACGCCGCTACAAACCACAATTTTGCCGCGCACGAAGACATTTAACTGACTCACATTCGATCATTCATCAATCAAATCTGTGAACACTTTTCTCAACTTTGCTTATGTACAGTGAATTAAATTCACTACTAAAAGATAAGTAAACATCAAATACGTTTAAGGGTAGACCACTCTAAAAAAAACTCTTTCCAAAAACTCTTATTATTCATAATTACGATATTCGACACAAACAAAAGACAGCGAACTAACGAACAATATCAACAAAGAGACATTCACGAATCTAACAATTACACACACAATTTTGTCCACACGACACACACTGATTACCCAATCTGTATATTGATAAATTGTATAAATGTTGCATTGTTTTCTAAATTGCATATGTTTCGTTTTTAATTGCGTTTGAAAGTTCGTTTATTTATATGTTTGGGGATGCAGTGAGACACGCACCCACTAAAATTTCCTTCTGATTCTTTCTTAAATAATTAACAATCCTGCACGTCCCAAACAATCCCACTTCCAAAAAACAACCGCTCTCTTCCCACTTTCCAATTTATAGTGTTTGGACATGTTTTGGAGAACCTCTACCTATCAAGTCAATACACCTTTATTTTAGTTGTTCCAATTCAGCACAAAGCTGATTTGAGTTTGACCATTATAACCAGTCTTATCATTACTTAACATAACTTACTTCTGGACAAGAAAAAGAAAACTGGTATACCCAAGAGACATTGAGAACTTTGTTTTCCTACAGTTTCTATAAAAAAAAATAAAATGGTTCATAGTAGAAACCCAAGTTTCTGTTGCTTCTTCTTTAATTGTTTATATATGAACACACACACACCTACAATGCACCAACATGCAACCTTAAATCCCATAAGGGAAATGTTCTCAACCAGAGGTCCACAAACCCTTCTTCTTCTTTGTGTCATATCCTCTCAGGACGTTGGCAATCATGGCTCTCCACAGCTTCCTGTCCCTTGTAGCTCTTAATAAATGTTGTCCTTTTATTATTTCTCCTAAACCTTGTTCTGCCATCCATTCACTCAATCTCATCAAGTATGTTATACACTGTTTTCCTCTGTCTCTCTTTCCCTCAATCTGTCCTGTTAGTAGCAGATTTTTCAAGCCCTCCTTCCACGTTACCTACCTCAGAAATTTCAACTGTCTCTTCCTGATGTTAAGTTTAAGTTTCCTTTTTGTTCCCATTTTCTCTAAAACGTTGTCATTGCTCAAATCTTCGGTCCATGGTATCCTGAGAATCCTTTTGTAGAACCACATTTGTGTTTCATCACCCACCATATTCTCCTGACTTGGCTCCTTTAGATTTTCATTTGTTCTGGTCTCTACAAAACAATTTAAATGACAAAACATTTGACTGTGTACAGCCAGTTGAAAACTACTTTACAATCTTCTTCCAACAAACAAGACAAAGTTTCTAAGAAAATAGCATCAACAAGCTTGTAGAATGATGAGAGACAACTGTTAAAAACAATGGAAACTATGTACTTGATGAATAAATTTTTTTTGTTTGTTTTTGTTTTTAATTTTCTAATTGGACACAAACTTTTGCAATGATCTAATAAAATGTAAAATGATAACATTATATACTTGTCAAGACAGGCTCCAGTTTCACTCATGGTTTGTTCAAACCCCAAGAAAATGATTGGTATTGTGTATCTGCTGTATAAATTTGGTCTTAGAACAAAAGCATCTTACTTATTATAAAACGCAGGTTGTGTGTGTCTGTATGTTCATATATTGGATCGGATTTCCTACATTTTTCAACCGATTTCAACAAAACTTCACAGGACTGCGTAAAATTACCTTGCAATGGTTCCGACAGTGCCAAAAATTGGAAAAACACAATTGTTTTTGCACAAAATCAATTTGAAAACACGATTCTGTCGCCAGAATGAAAGGGGGACAACTCATATCGAGTTATACTTATTATAAAACTCAGGTTGTTTGTTTGTGTGTGTATGTTCGTTTATATATGGGATCGGATTTCCTACATTTTTCAACCGATTTCAACAAAACTTCACATTTTTTTTTTTTTGTCAGGTAGTCTTTCTTATTGTCTTGCACACTTTTTTCTTTATTTTTACATTCAGAATGCTTTAAAAATTCTATTTACAAGACAATTGTTTATAATAAAATTGAAAAATTCTATTCAATCGGTAGACTCATAACAATTGAAAACAATGTTTTTGTTTGGGTTTGACCAATTTGTAAAAAAAAAAAAAAAAAACTAATTCAGACATGTGTGTCCATCACCCTTAAACAATAATCTTTGTCAATTTTATTTTTCAGTCTTTATGATGGGTGATACTTGATCTATCTCTTACTGTTACATCCCTGGGCAATGCCAGGCTCTACTGCTAGTCAGGAATAGGTTGTAGAAAACATGAATGTTATGTATGATGCCAAATTTGCTCAGAAATATCTAAACTGTCAGTTGTATACAACTGCTTTCTCAAATCCATGGTTAAAAATAGCTTTGAGCAAATGAAGCCTGGAGGTCTTAGAGAGGACCATCCTTCTTCAAAACTTGTGGACTGGCACTACAGAATCATAAAGAACTGTATTAAATAACAGAAACCACATCAATTGAGGACTTTCAACAACAATTAAATTAACTAGTCATAAAAAAACTGCTTCAAACATATCAAATGCTTATATTTTCAACAAAAGCATATGGAATACACATTACAAAAATAGATACCCTATGAAATTACTGAATCCTTTTTTTAAGAGCAATATCCTTTCAAAAGATGGGCTTTCTAAAATTTCCTGTTTTTTGTTGTTCTAAGTAACATTTGGACCTGTTACCATTTCTCTCTCTTTGTTCTACCATCCATTCACACAAACTCATTAAGTATTTTATTTGCTGTTCATCCCCTCCACCTACTTCTCTTACCTTTAATGTCCAGTGAGCATTAGAATACTTCAGGGCCTCTCTCCTCATTATTCACCCCAGAAACATTAGCTGTCCCTTCCTGATTGTGATTATCAGTTTTCTTTAAAACTTTCCACATTGCCAACATGTTCAGACATTGTTATTCTCATTATTCATTGGTCAAACCACATCCCTCACTTTAAATCTCTTCATCTGTGAGGACATTGTTCAGCATTCACTACCATATAAGAGATATTACATAGCAGTTAAACACCCTTTTTTGTTTCTAAGAATATTTCCCTCTTTCTTAATACTTTTATTTTCTAGAAGGCATTTTTAATATTCCTTTGTGCCTTTCTTATATATTACTACACTATTCTGGTAGTTGAATTTCTCTACCTGCTTGATTTTCATCTCCCCAAATCATAGTTCCCTTGGGCTGTCTTTTGATTACAGCCAAGCAATCTGCCTTATTAAAGTTAATAGTTCTTTTCTTGCTTTCCCTATATTAACTTGTCTTTGAGTTCATTCAAAATCTGCTATATTATGTTGTTAACATGATAAAACTTAGTAGGTCTTCTAGTTCTCATATGAGCGTCTGTCCTGGATATGACTATAAACTGTATCCAGTAGCAAGGTCTGATTGGGAAATTGGAAGTTTTGAGGAGCATGGGACCACTTCTTAATTACTGTTGTTCCCAGGTCAACCCTTATAAAGATCTTCTTCACTTGCAGTTACATTCCACAAGGTCTAAGACAAAGACAGACATACTAGAATAGAAGCAACTCAACAACAGTAATACATTC